GCAAGACTGAAAAGAAAGACTATAGAATGAATTATCTTGAGCGGAATGTCCTGATCCTCCATATCTTTCATATTGAATGTTTGTCTAAGGTTCTGACGAACGAAATTCACATTGCCTGTACTGTGTTTTGTTCTATGTTTGCGTGGTCTTGGCTTGCCGACAATCTTGCTGCATTTAGCTTGCCGAGAATCTTGCCGCATCCTTGGTCTACTACACACTGAGCACTCTACAGCCAAAGTGCTGTGGCTTCAGACTGTGGAAAAACAGCAGTGAACCACATCCAGCAAAACCATTAGTATCATCCAGTATCTATGATACAGCTAGGAAAAAAAACATATTCAAAAAACTGCAACATGCTGTACTTTGCGTACTACCCATCTCATGATGAAAAGTCTCATTCTGTTCATGTACTTTCCATGCAGCCAGGAGTCTTGTTCCACATAGGCAACAAGAAATCGGAGCAAGGTGTTGGAAATTGCAATTCATTTTCCACTTGCTGAACGCCATGAGCTGCGGTTTGATCATCAATTCTGTGCCACAATATGGGTAGATGACACACACACACATATATATATATATATCGTATAGATTCAATGATTCAATCGATCATTTTTTACAGCAAGAACCGGCAAGAACAGCAAATGAATCCACCCAAGAGGTTTTGTTCAAAATCGCACCAGCGGCCAAGGTTGGCTCGACCCCTCTGTTGGGTGCCGTTCAAGCAGGACATGCTGCAGTTGCATCTCGATGGAATGCTGAAGTGTTACCAGGGATGATGCAAGCGTGCTGGAATGAATAGAATCCCTTGCCCTGTTGATATTAAACACACCCCAGAAACCATGCTTTACTAGGGGATTTACACATATTTGGGACCATTTAGGGGGGTGTTTATAATATTAGGGGGATGGGATTATAAGTATGCCTCAGCCTTTCAGCAAGGCCATGACTTGTAATCAAATGCATCACATGGTCCCTTGAACAGCCATGTCAGTTTCAGCTTCTGCCAAGCAAGCAACCGTCAGATGTTGATTTAGGCTGAACCAGTTGATGTGAAAGGAAGGACCAGCGTGTTTGAAAATCAAACTACCCGGAGTAGCTTCCCTGAATCCACCACAAGCCAAAAAGTTGGCACAAATTGTAGCGTCAGTCTATTTTGAGATGTTTTTCCCCTAAGGGACAAAGATTAAGTAGAAGTTGCTTGTAGACCAACTTGAAGCCATGTGAGACCACATCGAAATGACTCATACTCTCCTGTATTCCTCTTGCCATGTGAGGTGAGATACCTCTGCGAGGCGAAGGTGTGGCGACCTGGTTCAGCTTCTGATTCATTTTGTCTCTTACGTGAGCGCATTCCTATAGCGTTCTACAGCTTGTGCGACTGCTCTAATTGACGTACCAGGCACAATTCGAGAAGAACTGTGTCACCCAAGAGCGTCGCCCACTCAGGGACCAAGCACGAAACACACAATCAACATGCATCACTGCACTGGAGTGAGAATAAAATGATCTGCAACCAATATCAACCAATCCTCTTGCTCAAACTTCCCATGATGTGTTTATTCATGTTTACTCCCATGACTAGCTGCTAACAAATAGTAACATGAATTGCAGTAATTATTACAGCCACAGTCATTCCAGGCGTGGAACATCAAATTGACTTCTCTCGGATGACAACCGAAAACAAGGATTTACAAGATATGTTTGACTCTTTCCAGTGGTTCTAACGCATCCTATGAAACCATATGAAACCGAACATGGAATGTTCCTGCCAGCAGAATTCATTGGAAACCAAGGTGAGACCTGTTTGATGTCCGCTGTTTTGCGGAATCACGTGGAGGTCCCGGGATAGAGACTCGCAATGGGATAGGCAACAGAAGCGATATCCATAGCGAAGCTGCTTGGTGGTTCTTACCATTTCCATCTATTTCCATCCTACCTGCGATGATGATGATGCCACATGATGCGTAAATTATGCGATTTTGGGATGTCTTGAAACGACAAGTCAATTTGTGGTTCTGACTCAGCCCCTCCAAGGCCAAGGTTCCCCCAAATCTGCACAGGTCGTACGGGCTCTGTGTGATGCTGGCGTCTCTCCGACTTTTTGAACCCCTGCCGCGATACCCGGATTGGGGATAGACATGACATACACTCTCGACATCTCTCGACCATCGCGTTCTCAGAGCTGCCGGATTACGATTTCATCCATCCGGTGTCCGATTCGCCGGTGGATAGTTTATGATAGTTTGTTGATTGTGGAATTCCGGAGAACCAATCTGACCAATGCCAGGCAAATCCTCTCTATCCTGCTGCAAACGGAGCAACACCTTTGCCTGGGGACGTAGCAGAGTGATGCTCCGCAGTTCAGAGTCCAAAGGCCTTATGCGTTTTAAATATCTGATATGTTTCCCACACATTGGTTTGCTTTTGACTTTGTACGTTTCGATCACCTTATTGCAATACTTCACCACTCAGAGCCTTCTGCTTTTGGTTTTTCCTGATGCACGGTACAATTTGAACATCCAGGTTTGTAGCATTATTCCGTTCCCATAATCCGGAACATTTTAATGTCTTACCTTAAGCAAGTCTTAAGTCTTACCATATATTTCGCACACGTTGTCATTGGTGATTCCGATTGGTCATCCCCGTTGGTGATGTTCCCAGGGGCCATGACACCCGCACCAAGGTTTGCTGCGGAGATACTGGAGCTTCAAGAAATTGTACCTCAGTGGAATGATGAAGATTGATGATCCACAGATATGATCTGTGTAATACATGAATACATTATTCAATGATATTCAATATTATTATTCGTATATACATATATAATCATATATATAATCATATATATAATCATATATATATAATATATATATATATATAATATATATATATATATAATATATATATATAATTATATATATATAATTATATATATATATATATAATTATATATATATTCGATTAAATGAATATGTTATATGTATAATTGTGATTAATTATGTATGTATGTATGTATGTATGTATGTATGTATGTATGTATGTATGTATGTATGTATGTATGTATGTATGTATGTATGTATGTATGTATGTATGTATGTATGTAATGTATATATGATATATGTCAAGAGGATATGGACTTGACGAAACAAGGTGGTAAGGCTGACAGGCATTAATCAAGTGAACTTTGTTTTCGTCCGGGAGTACTTGTTTCTGAGTGAAGTGGTCTGGTTGAGCCATTCAAAGACGCAGACAGGAAAACAAAGAACGAAGACACGGATGCGCTCGAGCACATCAACATACACACAGACACAGGCACTCCATGAATATTCAAGTACCCCTTCTCTGCACATTTGCAGATGCATCCTTGGACGCATAGCTTTGGAAGCAGTACTCAGTACTCGTATCATGTGAAGACACTTGCACAAGGATATGGAGGAATTGGAAAGTCACAAGGGTTGGCAGTTGGCATTTTCTACGTGATTCTTGCACATTGCTGAGGTGAGCATCATGCAACAACACGTTGGGAACTTGGATGAACCCCTTTTGTATGCGTGATTCCTTGATGTACACAAGGAGGATGAGATACTCCTTGCATTCTCCCACATGTTCCATGAGTCCAGTGGCTAAAGCAGCTCAATGTCATCACAAATTCTGATAGAACTGACTTCGTCACTTCGTCTTCGTCTATCGCGAGTCCGAGGCGACAAAGGGCTGGCGCCGTGTTTTCCGTTTCTTGGTGACACGTAGATTGGCTTTTGTCAAACCGCTTCAGCACTGGCTTCTTCACCCAGGGCTGACGATTTTGGTGTCGTATGGTGTCGTGGGTTGCACCCATGTTTATAACCTTTGGGCCCGCGTTCGTTGTCTAGCGATGATGTGAATGATGTGAACAGTTTGGTTGATTCAAGAGGAGAAAATGATATAAGATGATATAACTGATATATCTATAGAGCTATACAATAATCTATACTATACTATAGATGGACGTAGGATGATGTAGGTATGCTATGGATTTCTATGGTATTCATTGGTATTCTGGTATTACTTCGATGGATTCTTCCATTTCGATTTTGTTCGAGGCCTTCGGTTCAGATCGTGGTGACCCAAGGTCTGGGATGCTGCCGTCGTGCTGAGAGTACCTTGTGGCGCTTTAGATGGAACCTCCGAGACTGATCCGCTGAGTAGGGTGATCTTTGTGCAAGCCGCTGCAAGCCGCTGCAAGCCGCCCTGAGTCTGCCTTTCATATCCTGTGCAATTCTACAATGACTATAATTTACTATAATATGCATATGCGTTTATATCCATTTTTATCCACTTCAATGAAATGGAATGTGATTCCATCAAAGCAACTCATGGCTTGAGCCTGCTTCGATGTAGGCCCCTTTTTCCGTGTGCCTTCAAGTGCTGCTGGTTGTGTCTGAACAGCGGGCAGGGCTAGAACAGAGTCAGCAGGCACCTCAGAAAGAAACATATCGCTATCTGCGCACTGTTTTCATTGCTCATGCAAAAAGCTGCAGAGGCTTCCGGATTGCATTACATATCAGGATATGCACAAGGCTGAGGGAGTTGAGAAACATGTTTTCCCGAAAGAGTCTGGTGAGTGTGGCTTTCTTGATGTATTTGTGTACGTTTTTGTTTCCTCATGGTTCGCATTCTCTCTCTAGAGTAATCAGACAGATTGACTCAAACACCTGCTGGGAAAAAGTGCCAAACCAGTTTCTTCTTCCTGACAAGCTGACAGTTTCCACTTGACAACTTTGCTGACGAGAGAACTTATCCACAGCCCAAGGCAATGTTTCCAAGGCAAGGTTTCCTTTTTCATCCAGCAGCAAAAACTAGAACATCTTAAAGACTTAGCATCCACAACAAGATCTCTGAGATAGCAAAGGCTCCTTTTCTTCCTCCATGATTTCTGCCAACATGTGTTCTTTTTTTTCCAGCCAAAGGAGAGGCAATTGGAACAGATTCGAACGGGATTTTCCTGCGGAATTTCCGGAAATTCTTGCCAGAATCGTGGCCATGGCGACGTCGGCAGATGTGAAACGACTTTTTGGGAAGTTCGCAGACCATCGTGGCCTGGTGGAACGTGCCTGGCTGCTGCGGGTGGTTTGTGGAGTGGCACCAATGCTTTCTGCGTGGCTTGGACATCTCTGAGATTTGTCGGATTTTTTGGGGGGAAGACCATGGAAAACCAATTAATGGAAAACCACCATAGAAAGAAGTTTGAAACCATTTCGAACCTCATTTTAAATGTGGAAAAAGTGCAATTAGGATTAATTCCGGGGTGCCGGCCCTATTTACAGACACATTTGACTCATGTTCGTTCCATTCTTTGACACCATTTTAATTAAATGACTACGTCTTGGACATGCTTCATAAACACAACTTGATGATCTTGATCAGTTCTTTCTTTTGTGAATGAACATTTCAAGTTTTTAGACAGCAGGACAGCACAGTTTTGAATATTTTTGCCGTGGGATCTACTGAGGAGACAGGTAGAGATCCTGTTTTCCAAGCTCTTGGGCACTGCTCCTTCAATCGAGTATGATGTTTTCGTCGATGCCATATTCGCACAAAGGTGTCAGCAGGCGATGTTCAAATTCAACATTTGGGTATAAGGGATCCTGGAGACATTTTAAATCACATTAAAATACATTCATAGAATTATGTTGTCAACATGTGTCAACATATTTGCTGTCTGGCAAGAAAGGATTCAATCCTGATTCCTTTGCAGGCTGATCCAGGTCCAGAGACGAAGTTGCCATCGGAGGTTGGGGCTCTGCTGTTTTTGTGGTACCCAAATCATCCATTTTTTGGGGTACCCGCATTTTAGGAAACCTCTTATATAGTTTCTTTTCCTTGGACATGAAGCCATCACAAGCGATATGGACTGCAAGTTCTTCGATAGCGGGATAAAATCGCCGGCAAAGCCACATGTTGAATGAACAATCGCACAAAAAACACGAACCGCTGCGGTAATTGCTCTGACAGGCTTGCAAAGGAGAATTGGTTTCTGCATGCCACATGTTTGGAGTGTATAGTGCCTGTGCAGATGACAACGACATACAACGACGTACAACGACAGTGTTGGCAACGTTCCACCAAATCCAAAGATACTGTTTGAACTCACAATAAGAAATCATAATATGAAATTATATCAAATTCATCAACTTTAGTCTCAAGCAGTCTCATGATCCAGGGTTATCAGATGTTATCAGATGCTATCAGATGTTATCAGGGTTTCATTTAAATTCCAGGTGATTCTACGCGCCGTCACCACACGCAGTGACTGGCAGCTGCCATTGGCCTTGGCGCCTCTGCGGGAACAGCTGGAAGTGCTGGGAGCCAAGGCTCCAGTGTCTGTCATCATGGAGATGGGCTCCGAGGTTCGGATTGAAACAAGATGAATATCAATTGATCAAGGAATCATCAGTGAATCATCGAGATATATCGAGATTTAAGATGATGGGATTCAATAATGAGTTATCTGTTGAAACACTATGATAGATCTTGAGTTTCAATATGTGAAAAATGGAGTCATCAATTATTTGTGAGGTATTTTTTGGGATTGATAGGATGCTGGTAGAATGTGCAGAGCTGTTGTAGATAACGTTGAACCATGTTGAACCTAAAAAAATCCGTTGAAGCTGTTTGGATCTGTTTGGGATGCGCCTCAAAGCTGACACCGCCATGGCCAGGCGTACATTGCAGTTTGCAATGCCGAACTGAAGGAGCTGTGCCGTGCTGCATCTGTGGATCGCCTTTTGCAGGAGCTCAAATCCTGGAAACGCATTCCAGACGCTGAAACACGACGTGAAATATGTGAAATATGTGAAATACGACGCTGAAATACGCTGAACCAATTTAAGTCAATCCAGTGGCAACAATTGTAGAACTGGAGTGCTAGTGCAGATTGGCATGGAATCATGGAGATGTTTGGATGACATTGTTTAATCAACCAGCTAAGAGTCAACCTCTTGTTCGGTTGCCAGCCTGCCCACCGGCAGCAATCAGCAATCTGTGATAGTGCCTAGTTGGGCCGAAGTCTTGCCTCCAGATGATGTTGGAACTTGGAACATAAAGCTACAAGTAGCGCTGCAAAACATGTGCAGAACTGATCCAAGCGTTGGCCTTATTCCACTGATTCTCCGAAGAAACTCATGGATATGCTTTCACCACTGTGAGACATAAGGTGATAAGATGAAGGATTCGGATGTGGTGGATTTTATAACGGTAGATTGGTAGATTTTGAACACACCGTGGAATGCAACAGGTTTCAACTCCAGACGATTCTCGCTTGGCAGCCTGTGAATTGAAGCATAATGAAGCATATATGTATGCATATGTTGCAAACATTTGCAAAGTATATTCTCTCTAATTCCTGACCAAAGTGCCTTCAACGCACCATTGTGTATTGTATTGTATTGTCAATATCATATCACTTGCATGCAACTACCCGGACATCATGTTCAGCAACCATTGATTGAATCATCTTTTGGATGGCTTCGCTCGCATTTTCACCTCCTTACCTCAGTGGCAAAATTGTGCTGAAGAGGACCAGTCTCACAAACTTAAAATTGCGTGGTTTGTGCAAATCTCGCGCGACGTTTCAATCACAGAAACAAATCAATCAATAGTGCAGAGTGCACCCATCCTGTTGCGCCAACATTTTGAGCCTGGGTCCAGTCGTAACATCCAACAAGTTGCCATTCTACTGGTGAGAGAGCATCACCATCCAGATGTTTCTTAGTTCCTCCAGGCAAAGAGGTCGAAAGCTGCAACGACTCAAAAAGTTGGATCCTGACTTCACCAAGGCCTCGATGATGGGTGAGATATGCTGGTGGATATGGTGGATATGGTTGTTGTGTGGTTGCCTTGTCCAGCCCAAGTATGCCCCATAGATCTACCGTGATCAATCCATAGATCTACCATTGCGCATGCGCCCTGAAGGTCATGAGCTTCGTACAGAAGCACAGCGAGACAGCCATAGGTGCGGGAAATCAGAGGGGACCTTGGAACCTTGGGCCGCCCAAGGGCCCAAGGGCCATGGCGGCATGGCACAGATCACCCTGAGCCCCTCGAGCCCTCGAGCCTCTCCTGTCACATCCTGTCACCGATTGCTTACTCTGCTGATCCTTCCTACCACCATGTCACAGTGCGGCAGTATATTCATCAGTTTAAACATCTTTAAACCGTTTATTGAAGACTGAATCACCTCCATGAAATGTTCATCTTTCATGTCATGATGTTTCTCTGTGGTTGTGCCGTCGTTCCAATGAGCAAAGGATGGAGGCCTCTGGCCAAATGGTATCGACTGGTGCTGATTTGGCCCAATGTGGCAGCATGAGGTCTATATTTTGGCTGAGATGCCACAACTGGCCCTGGTGGATATCTGGTTTTGAAGGGGGCTACAAATTGATTCAATGATAGTAGACATAGGTGGCAAAAGTGGACTCTGGAAACACACAATTGGTGATAACTCTTCATACTTCCAGAATCTTCCATAGCAGAGCTTGAACCAAAGATGGACGATATTTGGATTATTTGGTAGCTTGTGACCTTTGTTGTGTGGTGGTCCTCACGGTGCTTCATTTGAAGGTAGGACTTCTGGCACAGCACCAAGCCATGTTGCTCCGACTCTTTGCCGTTCTCTGCTTGAGCTTGGCAAGAACTGCTCCGATTGATGTCGATTCACATATGAGCCTTGATGAATTTATAAAAAAATTATATATCTGTATACTAGCTTAGCCATTGAGCCGAGGTGTTTGATTTTTCTTGTCATTCCATGTCTTTCGTCATACTCTTGCACTAAGTCATGGTCGGACCGTGTCCTCACTGCGACCAGAGCAGTGGCCAGGGTTTGCTCGGCACCACTCATCGTAGGAGCCTGTGGTGAGAGATGCAACAACAATAGACACTTTCAGGATCGCTTTAGAAAAGCAAACATGAATAAACACAAATGGACCACAGAGCCAAACTCCATGAATTAACCATAACCGGCCTAGTACGTACAAAGTATTGTTTTCGCTTTTAATCATGTCTAATGATGAGTCGAATGTTGATGCTTGATGCAGCGTTGACAGCTTCAGGTCCTTGCTATTTGGCCATGATCGAAATCTCAGCGAAGCTGCAAAGTACATGGCACTGGCTGCAGAGAAGGGCTGTGGCCGTTGCTTTTTCTACCTGGGTGCGATGCTCGCCTTGGGTGAGCCAGAGACAAATGTCTCGGCTCGCTTCAAGGTCTTATCGGACGGGAACATCGAATTTCGGTGCCTTGATACGAATCGATACAGTCAGGAGAAAGAGATGATGAAGTGAGAAATCACAAGATTAAGTCGATGAACCATGGTAATGATCTTTATTTTGTTCGTATTTGTCTACATATACATATGAATGATATATATATATATATTATAATTGCTAGCTTGTATAACATAATTATAACATAAAGTATGACTATAGTTGTATTACTATTATGAAATTTGGTACATGGATACAACGTGGTGCACCCGTTGGGCGTTTACCCAGGTGGGCACGTGGACTGGCTCGAGCCGAAGGCTTAGCTTCCAGCTCCATGTTGGACCGACCAGCCATCGCATACTACGTGGGTGCACAGAAGGGGGATCCCTTGGCAGTTCTCGCGTTCTCGCGCCTTGGCAACGCAAGTTTGACTTGGGATATTTCTGGGGAATTCTGGAGAATTATTTGTGAAGTCTCCTGACTTTTAACAGCAACCACGAGTAATACCCATCTTTTGATCTGTTTTGAAGAAGTTCTTTTCCACATGGCAACGCCAACCCCATTTTCATTATATCTTCATTATATCTCCAGCTATTTCTAGATATCTCCAGACATCTCCAGATATTTCCAGGTACTACGTCCTAAATCGTTTGACCCTGGGATCCCCCGGAGCCGCCTGGTGGATCGCCGGCGAGCGGCCGCAAGCCACCCATGCCTTGCGCCGCAAGCCATGGAGAGAAGAGGCGACACCTGCGTAGCTGGGCGGAAGTGGGACTGGGAACCAGGAAAAATGAGGATCTCACCAGATCTAAGCCATCAAAATGGACAGATCTTGGGAAACTCATTGAAACTAAGAATAATCCCTCGACCCCTAACATTAAACGTCCCCACACCTCGCAAACAATAAAGCCTAGGGGTAGTTTTTATTGTTGGGGGGGATTCAATATTCGGGGGAGAACCTTAATCAAAAAAACTAAATTGTGCGATTTCAAAATCAATTAATTTCCTTTTTAAAATGTAATTAACATATTGCCAAAAAAATGGTTTTCGAAGCTTTAATATCAAATTTAAAACCTTGATTGAAAAAAACTGTTGTTTTTTATTTTAACAAACGGACCCTAATAAAAAACACACCGGGGCTAACTAGTTTTTATTAAGAGGGTAGAATACCTTCAAATGGACCTTGATTTTTAAGTTGTTTTCTAAAGGGCATCAATTAAAGTCAAATTGGCCAATCTGAAATTTCCCAAAACAAATAATCTGGGATTGTTTTTAATTTTTAAGGGAGGTTTAGTAATAGCGAGAAAGGATTGTCTAAGAATGATCTTAACTAAGTAAGTCCTATTTCCAATCCATCAAACAGCAATTTCCATAGGGGGATGTAGCATGATGTGGCAATCCCTCATGGCAGGATGGTGATGATGGTGATGATGGTGATGACGATTTTATTCGATGGCTGTGTGCAATGATTGTGCAAACAATGCGCCGCTGCTCAGCGTTGCTGAGGCTCTGCCAATTGATTCTACGTACTTTGGAAAATGTGGCAGAAACCGCCGCTCGAAATGAGGACTTGGTCGATGTCGATGTCATGGAGAGAGTACATGTGTGTGTAATGTTTTGAAGCAACTTCATCCAAGGCATTCAGACCTGTTTAGTTTGTCTTTGGACCTGTATATCATGTCTATTCCTCAAGTACCTGATTGAATACTCTCATAATCTTTCATGTATGAATGGTATGTTAGCATGTGCCAAGTGCAGCAAACCCATGGAACATCATAGAACCACATCCAGCAGCCTTCAAAATCTTGCGGGGTGCATGAATTCAACAAAGTGGAGTTTGTTGGCTCGTCTCCAACGACAGACGTCTTGACTCTTGATCATGTCCTGCGGGATAGATCTTGTTCTTGGCTGCACTTTTGCAGGACGGGGCCACAGATTCAAGTGATCTTCACTTCTTTGTGCAAAATGCTAGCGAAGTACAACGTGCCAAAAAGGAGCATGCAGAGTCTTGACCTTCAAGGCCAAGCCAGCCGCTTTCTGGAGCTGCAGCTGATTATATAGACTGGAGCAACACCGTTCGAATCGAAACTTCAGATCACAGTCTCCAAGAGTTGTCATCTGTCACAATCTGTCACCGACTGGAAGAAAAACAGCAAGACATCAGAGATCCCCATGCTTAGCCAATGCAATGGACTGCTGCTCAGGACTGGATTCGAGCTCGTTCGAAGGATGGCTACAAGGAAGCTGAGGTGGTCGAAGCCGCGTCCTTTGGTTGAGGGAGAGATCTGGCATCTGGTACCACAGGAACATACAGGAACATACAGGAACCACAATTTTGGATGAATTGGTCTTTTTTCAATTGATCCATAAGGTTGAATGTTGTGCTGTGCTCATTCGAGCATTTAACCAGTCACAGATCTGGGTTTAATCTCATTGCCGAGACAGCCAACATCCATAGTGCCAACAACACTATGGATCACTGAAGGCTCAAACAAAAACACTGTCACAAGGATTGGTAAACTGACCTGCCTATGAGTCCAGCCAAATCATGCAAGCTTTGGATAGGAGTCTGAATTTCTTCAGTGCAGAGTTCCCCCACGAGATAGATTCAGTACTGCCTTGTGGCTCCCTTGTCAGGTATTTGTTTCATGGTGATGCAGATTTGAACCTCACCCGAAACGTCTCACGAGCTCTCGAATTGTTTGATGCTGCTGCGAGTACAACCACAGAAGCTGCCTGGAATTCTATGCTGTTGCTTGGCACCAGAAAAGTAAGAAGGTAGTTCGAGAATGTTCGAGACGCATTGCACGCATGATGACTCATTTTTTATAATTACTGTACGGAAATATAGTGACTTTTTTGAAAGTTAAAGTATAATGCTTTACTTAGTGTGGCCTTTAGCTTTGCAGCATAGGCGTCAGACTCGCCAAAGCGACACATTTTTGCATCTGCGTCATTTTTTGACCAGTGGCTGGTTTCCTCTGGTGTCTTAGGTTGCATGCGCGTGAAGGGCATGAGTCAAAGATTATCCAACATGCGCAGAACATTATTCAGGACCGAGAACACCTGAGCCTGAAACTTGCGAAGTTGATTCCAGATCCTTCAAAATTTTGAAGTTACTGTACATATTACAATATATCTCAATAAATACAGACAAGACTCTGATCCTTTCCGGTTTTGCACATCACGGTACGGCCGCAGGATCCAGACGCAACAGCACTGCAGAAGACCATGGCGCAGCATTACCTCCATCGTTTTGGCGCTGACGACACGACCCAACAGCACGCGCGCAGGGGTGTACTTGTTGGCAGCCGCTGAATTAGGAGACTCCAATGCTCAGCAGATGATGCTTGGTGGCATGGAACATGGCTGCTTACAAGAAACGCCTAGCACCTCTGAGGACACATCTGGGTGTGGTTTTGGATGGCTTGACACCCAAAATGAATGAGTGGCTAGTTGAAAGCATGTTGATCATGATGGGGAAACGTTCATACTCGCAACAAATTTCTGCAATGGGTAATAGTCATCTCAAGAAAGTCAATCTTTGGAAGTGTAAAAAAGCCCTTCTGGGAGTAGTAGTAGTTGTTTTATCATGTTTTATCCAAAGGCCTGTGGGTTTGTTAATGTATATATATATATATATTTGTATATATATATATATGACATGAACAAATCTTCAACAGAGAGAGACAATGGGTCACCCTTGAGTCATCAAGCGGACTACCGTCCTACAGTATGCGACAGTATGCAATAGTTGTTGTTGGATGCCGCTGTGCTGGACTGTGGAGATGGATGACTTCTTTCAGCGCTATGGATGCCCTGAAGTGGAGATTTTCCATAAATACCTTGAAAGAAGACAGATATAAATGATATAAACAGATGCATTAAACTGTCCTACTCAGTTTGATGATTTGGACAATCATCGCACAAGCAACTCGCTTGGTTTTGACATGTTCTTTCATTTCATTTTTGCGTTCGACATGCTCAGATCTTAAGGGTCCTTGAGTTTGTGAGCCAAAACCAAAGATTACCCAGTGACATCCAGTGACCCAGTGATCCCTGGCCACTTCCAGATCTTCCAGATCTTCCAGGATTGCTCATGCCTATGCAGGGCTAGAGCTCCCGGAGTTGGAGAATGTCAAAATCCCTGGTGCTCCCAATACAAAGCGGGCCATGCATTTCTACATGAAAGCCGCCAAGCAGGGAAGGCTGCTCGGTGAAACTCGAATTTATCTGTGCCCATGCAACTGGATCGATCCCTGAGATGGACAGATTTTGCTCGGAACTGCATTTGATTTGGAAGGTTTGGACATCAATTCTTGGAGCTTCTTTTGCCCTGAAGTACATGCGTACCTTTCATGTTTCATTGGGCTTTTTCTTTCTTGATACTCCGTACTACGTACCTTTATATTGTTTTGGGTGTGCTTGACAGGTAGTTACTACTTGTTCAAGTGATGATCGGTTTTCACCAATTTGGTGATTGCAAAGAATAGCTGTCGTGTATTACTGTATGTCGCATATTCTGCAGGTGGCATCAACTGGTGGCATTACTGAGGCCCGTCTCAGCCGTGAATGCCGTCTCTCTGATGTTGCGTAACCCAGAAGGCCGGGCCGGGAGCCTTGGGGGGAGCCAGCGTTTGATTACTGATATATTCAATATATTCCTTCAGACAGCATTTTTTTCCGTATTGTTTTGGGATGCCTCATTTCAAATTTTAGCATAGCCGAAGCTATGTCCTAGTTGCGGCAGATTGCAATTTTGCAAAGCTACAAAGCTGGTCGACCATTTTGCCGCAGATTCTTTATGACATTGAGAGAACACTCAACATAAGTTGAAGCCTCTATTCATCCCATGGATGTGTTTATTCTCATTCTCCGCAACGATTATATTATATCATATTATATACTTATTTATTTTATAATTATATATAATAATATAATATATATATTATTGCTATAGCTCAAAATGTAAGGTTCTGATCCATACCCTGGGACCACATGCGATCCATACCCCATGATCCATACCTCATGATCCATACCTGTGATCCATACCCCTTCAGAGGACATGATCCATACCTATGATCCATACCCCTGATCCATACCTCAGTAATTGCAAATCCTGGGCATGTATTGTATTGGTTTTGTTTCTGAGTTGTACCTATGGGATTCTTCAGTTTCTGTTTCACGCATTGCGTTTTGAGTGAGGGGTCAGGGCCAGCTATTTGATCTCTACGATTTAATTCGACGTCACGACGTCGCCCCCGAATTAACGAGGCAGAATTTTGAAACCAGGGGATATGTACATAAAGTATCTCACCCTTTGCCTGTACCCGATCCTGCTTGCTCGCTATTGCATGCTATTGCTACCATAAAGGATTTTATGTTTGTGTTGGTATGATGGCTCGCAATCTGCAGTTTAAAGTATACTTGGGGTTGTGAGGGGTTATGAACACCACAATATCCACCAAATCAGCCTAGGGTTATTGACAATTGGTTTCCGTTCCAACAAAAGGATTGAATTAGATTTTGAATCTACTACCAAAACAATCAGCCAGAAAATTTAGAAATTCAGGTCCATTACGTTCCATACCCCGATCCATACCCGTTCCATACCCGAATCATGCCATGTAGGACCCATCCCCCATCACCACCATTTGTTGGTATTCAAGTGTATTCAACGAGCTCTTCTTCGATCTCGCCCTCTGACTCAGATAGTGATGATTGAAAACGAAAGCGGGTCTTTACTTGCTCTTCGTGCCCCACGGGTCTGATGAAATCATTATATAGATATGTGCATATGAGCTGCATATGTATTTCTATTATATATGTATGTATTAATTTCTTTATTTATATTTATATCTAAATAATATTATATTGATATTCATATCCATTTAAGCCCTTGACAAGGTCCGGATCAAAACGCTTGCTGGCAACTCCTCGTTCCATACGTCCGGATCACCGCGGAACGATCCATACCCGTTTTTTGAGCCATACCCATATATCCCTACATGTCTCTCCTTTTGCTTTTCTGACATCAAGAGCAATTGATGTGCGACCGCTGCGGTGAGGTCAACGCTCTACGGCAGATGATCGCTGCCGGGGAGCTGTAGAGACGTTGCGAGATGTGGCCCTGGCATATCACCCAGTGCCTTGGGATCTAGCTACGGGGGCCTTCGAAGTTGTGAGTTGCTTGCGGTTGTATAGGATGTTGATGGATGTTGTAGGTATATTTGTGGAATTTGACTTTGAATGGTGTATTGACCGCTGCTCGTATGATTTTGTAGGATGTGTGCTGATGATGTTGTTGTGTTATAGTATTTCCAGCAACTGAAGCTGGTTGGCAATGGCCAGTTGCGGCCGTCACTGTGATTTTTACCAGTGAAGGCCTGATGGGTCAGTAACATAGTAACATCTATTTTCAGAGGTCTCCAGATGTCTCTGTATTGCAAATATTGAATATTGATGAATATTGCTAGGAAGTCCTCCAGCTGCATGGTCGTGCTCGACATGCCTTTGACAGTGGTGATGAAGAGGGTGCCTTGATCAGCTTCGCACTTCTTTCAGAATCTTGGCAATGCTTGACGGACATTGGACTTGATGGACGAGATCTGTCCAGGTTCTTTGCCGGGTCTTTCACAGAGGTTCTGAGTGTTTTTGTTTGTCCATGGCACACATACACGGATGTCTACCTGGATGGGGCCGAAGAATACGATTCAACGCTTTGCCAGACTCGCTCAGCAGCACAACAGCTTGTGACGCTTTTCATGATTCTTGCATATTCTTGCTTTTTGCAGCAGTATTTCCATTCCAATTTAGCCTTTCCTTGCAACCAGTGCTTGCCTTCTTTCTTGTCTTAGCAGTCTTAGCACAATACCTCACGCACCAATTGGGTCTACAACAAAACGCCAAGCAAGATTTGAAACAGTGACTCCAACCAATGGCCGTATTGGAAGCAGTCACTGCGGGGTGGACAGTAAGGGTGTTGATACGGCAACTCTTTAGAAAGGGGTCAGGCCTGCTGTTTCATTCAACATGTCTCGCGCTGAATGATGCCAATTTTTGGAATGCAAAGGAAGCTTGCAAAGTATATTGGAATGTTCAACCCGGTCAGCAGTTCTCCATCTTAGCCCATCATGTCCGTTCACGTTCAAAAGCGTTCAAAGATCAGCATAGCCAAGTGCTGATCAGCAGCATTGGTTGTGCTTTCGGCTTGCATGTTCCCTGCAGACAGCTGCTGCCAAATTGCTGGTAGTTCCACAGAATCTCTCAACCTCTTTTCTTTGTCTTTTGCAGGTCCATTGACATATTTTGACATTGGTAACATTGGTAACCCATGTTTGACCTCATTACTCATGTATTTTGTTGGGTAGTGATCCGCTTTGGCTCAAACCTTAGCATTTGTTTCGACGCGAACTCGCCAAGCTTGAAGGCTCGCAAAGCGACCCTCTTTCAGCCAGTCAAACACCCGATTTGATCATGGCTGCTACTATTGTGATCGTGGCAAATGAGAAAAGGAGGAAGACAAGGAGAAAGTCGCAACTTAAGGGGGAGTCAGGCAACATGGCCCTAAATTGGCGAGACAAGTTGTCTTTTGCGACCCCAATGGCACACCCTCATAGTTGGATCAGGTCTCTTGCTAAATTTGGCAGTATAAAATGTCTTGATGCAGTGTAGGTGAGAGGTAAAGATGGTAAAGATGAAGCCTCCAGATGATGATTCCGCATGGCATCCCATGGCATCCCATGGCATCCCATGGCATCCCATGGCACCGCATGGCTGAAAGCTAGCACCATGCCTAGCATCTCACGAGCTGAGGCACGATGGAGCTAGATGCTGATAACGATGGCAACATCTCGCCGGATGAGTTGATGTTGGACTTCGGGGGTATCCACATGCGGGCAGACATCATGCTGGAGCGGATGAAATTGGAAGATGGACTACTTGGATTCATCCAACAGATACTCGGCATAGAAAAAAATAGAAGTATTAGAAACATGAGAACATGGACATTACGGATAGCTCAGTAGATTAGTAGATGATATAATATTGATCACTGATTCTATGATATTGATATATTGTAAGTATAATTAATTGGTATAGATACTGCAGTTTTTCGTTCATGTCACTGGGCTTTCCCACCACCAGGATGCCGCTCTTTTTGCTGTGCCTCATTTGCTTCCTGGTCGCCATCAGTATCCTAAGTCCAGCAGAAGAGACTTCTGCGATCCATCAACACTTGGAGGCGCACTTCGGCCTTGGGGATGTAGGGAACATCAAAGATGTGGCGGGAATCTATGCCTTTGTGACGGCCTTTGAGCAGAAAAACTTGGAGATGATGCCAACTTCTGCAGACTATTGGTGTGAACATCGATATTACCAATATGCTTGGAATGATCACTACCAGATTCCAACCTCTACCTGCAACAGCCCCAGGTACACAGCACTTGGTTTACAAAGTGCCCCAGTTTGGACCAACGGTAGTGGGACTTCAAGTTCCGGCCACAGGCGGTTGGCAGGATCTCACACAGACACAGATGGTCCAACGGCAACACATGACAATCCACCTTGTGAGGACAATGACACGGCCTACGCACTTGAAGAAGACAAACCCAACATTACATGTGAAGAGGATGCAAGCCACGCATGCGGCATTGATCTCGGCATCTTGCTTTGCCCAAAGACGTGTGGATATTGTGCTCCCTTTGAGTATGAGAGTTTGAAGAGGTTCGGAAAGCCGCAGCTTACACTGCTTCCTTCTGTCCTTTTCCAGACCCGTCTGGAAGAGACAGCGTGCCATGGCTTTGCAGCAACCATTCAGGTTCAGAACTACAATCCTTTGCTTTCCCTCTTACCCGCACTGGATGGAAAGAAAAAAGGCACCATCTTGAAATGCATTGACCGCAATCAACAACAGACGTCAGAGTATGCCTTGTATCTTGACTGTCCTGACCATACCCCTTCACACCGTTGCGTTGACGGAAAGGTTGGCATCGGTACCAAGCAAAGTTTTCATGGAGAGACAGTATATGCAGAGATGCTCATTGAAAGCAGCAAGCTCTTGACGGGAATGCAGAAGGTAGGATGGATTGACATCCAAACAGATCGGGTTTGCGTCAGTACCATGGTCTACACGGAAGGTGTGGAGATGTTCACTTCACTGACAGTTGAGTTCAGTTTTGATGAAGCTGGCAATGTGGAGGGAGCAGTGCACATGATTACCTATCGGGACCTGACCCGGGAAGCGGCCTCGGACTTTGCTGGCTGTTTGATCACAACATGTGTTGGTGCTTTCATTAGCATTGTGTCCCTGGTGGCCTATTTGTGCTGCCATCCAGAGCAATACAACTTGGGGCTGATGCTCTATGAGATCATCTCGCGCTTGGTTCTGTTCATCTACCCCTTGATCTTGCTCATCTCTTGGACGCAACAGCAACTGATGTCCCATGAGTATGACCTCCTGATGCAAGCCTTCATGCATAATGAAGGAATGGATGCTGAGCATGTGAAGCACAGCGTGGCGGAATATTTCAAGGCCGGGCATCACGAAGACTCACGAAGAAATCACTTGGACCATGACCAACCCATACCAAACAGATCCAGGTCATATCTCAGGGTGCTGCGACAGGTCATAGTATGAGCTGCCTCCAGTGATCCTCGTGCTGATGTGGCCCAACAAGTTCAAACAACCCCCCAAAATTCAAAAGCTAATCAACATTAATCAACTTTCCAGCAATATCCAACCTTATATGCTGAAACCGGAGAATCCAATCTCACGCAATGTGTCCAGGGGGCCCAGTGGGCCTTCGTCGCAGGTGAAGACTGTGATCTATGAAGAAGCCGACTGGCTGGAACGTCATCGCATCGCCGCTTACATTGTTCTCTATGTGCAGTTTCTGCAAATGGTGCTTGCTTTCAATGTGCACCCTAGGGTTGCAATGCTGACATCTACTATTCAGACACCTGGCGGGAGCTAGGAGGTGTTTTTGCTTGCCTTGTTGAATCATGTTGAATCATGTTGAATCTGAGTCTTTTCTTGTCACTTCATCGCAGATTTTTGGAGCTCTGGAGCTCACCAAGGAAGGCCTTGCACAACATGATGCATTTCTTCTTCGTCTTCGCCATCCTGTTTTTAATGCTCGCCTTCATGGCAAACTTCTTGCTCGGCGGGAGGATCCATCTATTTGGCACCTTTGGGGAAGCATGTTCCGCACAGGTTCGAATGCTCTTCGGAGAGTTCATATACGCGGATGGTGTGGAGGTGCTCTCAGGAACAGCTCTTGTGATGTATTGGTTCTACGCCATCTCATTCATGCTGCTGGGATTCAAACATATTAACTGCGTAGCATGTGGAGATGCATAATGAATCATAATGATATGCAGAAGATTGTAGAAGTCACTTACAGCTGAAATGCTGTTTGCAGTATCGTTCTGCACTTGAATGTTCTTGTTTCTTTTTGTTCCTTTTCTGTGTGTTTTGATATGCTTTGATGTGTGTTGAGTCTGAGGTTGATTGTCTTCTTCACTTTGCTGAACTTTTTCTTGGCAATCATTGTGGATGCCTTTGTGGATGTCAAGAATTACACCGGGGAGTTGCGGGTCACGCAGAGTTTCTTTAGCGACCTTTGCTGGATGCCCTGGAGCGCATACCTCCACAGGAAGTTCACGGGCTCAAGCTTCAGTCACAATCGTTAGTTGCTGTTAGTTGCCGTTAGTTAAATTATGTTTCACTCTTGAATCTCTTGATTAAGGATTTATGGTTGATTTACGTTGAATTACGTGCAAACAATAGATTTGTCATTTGTCATTTTAGATTCATGCTGTTTATTTGAAGAAAGAATACTGTAATTCTTGATCTTGCACTTTGAGTTCAAGTCTTCTCCAAGTTTGCCAATATTCTCAAGCTCTCCTTTGCCACTTTGAGGTACAAGCTGCCTCCCAGGAAGAAGCTGGTGAAATACTTCACTGAAGCTTTGAAATCCTACAACTCTGCTGAGAAAGGAGCAGAAAACAACAGCGGCTTCCCATTGCTTTCAGCCCGGGCACTGATCGAAGAGTTTGGTGTTGAAGAAGCTCCTATATGCCAATGGCTGTGTCACATCGAGAAACTCAGCACGGTACCATTGATTCACTACCACACCAGTGATGAAGGAGTGGCATCACGAGAAGTGGGAGAAGTGGTGGAGAACCAGCATGAACCAGAAGAAGCAGATGCGAACACCGTCTCCGACCAACGTTCGGAGCCTCTTTGTGCCCAAGTTGTTTGAAATATGTGTGAGCCGAATTCAATTCTTTGCCGGGTATTTGGCAAACGTTTCGTTGCATTTGGCCAGTCTTGCAAACGCAAGTGTCAGAGCTTCAGTCCGCAAACGCGGCAAAGAGCGCAGCGTTGCTTTGTTTGTGCCTCACATCCTTCACCAATGACCCAGTGATACCCAGTGAACTTTGCTGTCTGCAGCTGCCCCAGGAATTGGGCGCCAAAAATGCGCACACGAATGCGGCCAGCCTTTGGAAAAAGGGTCAGAAGAAGACCCTGAAGTGCTGGAGGCTGGAGGCTGTGGTTTCCCCCTTGAAATATCCTTCAAGAACAGTATGCCCCGGTTGTTATTTCATTTTTGATTGCACGACATTGCCTAGGCATGCATAGTCTGTGAAAATAGAAGGTGATAGAGCAGCTCATTCAGGTATCATTCTGTGATATGCAGCTTGACATTTCTAGACTTGTTCAGTTTAAAGTCGCAGGTTTCCTTTGTCTTAAGAGCATGGGATACACGAGTTTGGCGGTTCTAAACTCCTTGTTTGGTTAAAGCCACTTTAGTTTTGGGACATCATCCCACTGTTCGTTAAATCCGCAAGCTTCATCACGCGCGTTGCAAGAGGTCCACATCTACCGATCTTACTGGAAGGCTTTGCGAACTGGACTATCGAAGAAGGCCCGGCGCAGTCCATCATGGATATGGCCTATTTCAATGGGAAAAGATCGGTAGCATGTTTCCCCTTATAATATGATATGATAGGTTTTCAAATAAGACCTAATAATATATATAATATATAATATGATATAATATGATATAATTAGTATATAATATAATATAATATAATATGATATGATATGATATAATATGATATATAATCTAATATTATACAATATGATAATATATGATATAGTACATAATATAATGTAATAATATATATAATATAATAGAATACAATACAATGTAATATAATGATATAATACAATACAATATAATATATATAATATAATATAATGGACTACGATATGTCATGATACAATATGTGATATCATTTTCTAGTACTGTATATTGTAGTAAAACAAGACATATTAAAACACAATAGAACATAATTTAATATAACATGATATCGTGTAATATGTTAAACTAAAACAAAATAAAATAACGTAATTATAACATAATGACATAATATGATACGACATACTGTCATGTAATATGATATATATAATATGATAATATATATTATACAATGATATACTATGCTATACTATACTAATATTAATACTAACACTAACATTGATACTAATACTAATAATTACCAATACTAATAATTACCAATACTAATACAAATACTAATAATATACTATACTATACTATAATATCATACAACATACTATAAGAGAATATAATGTAATCTGCAACACATAATATGATATAATATGATATAATAGGATATAATATGATATAATATGATATGATATGATATAATATGATATAGTATGATATAATATGATATAATATCATGTAATGTAATGTAATGTAATGTAATGTAACATAATGAAACACAGTATGATATAATATGTTTTAATATAATAGAACATAATGAAATATAATAGAATACAAAACAATATAATACAACATAATCATACAACACAATATAACAAAATATAATACCACTTGATATACTGTAACAAAGCGGGATACAACATCATAGTGTACTGTAATAAAACATGGACCAGACTATATGCACATAAACTATATCATTTTGATATATTTTGATTATGTATTGACCCTGTATAATACGGTATAATACAAGATAAAAATCTCTGCCAGGGCTGCCCTAACGGGCAATGTTGATGCCATGCTTCGCTTGGCTTCGTTGCATGAGAACCTGGGCGAGGAGAACCAGGTGGGGCACCTTTTGGGGCCACCTGGGGTGACTGTGTGTGGCGATCGACTTTTGGTTAGTGGAAGATTATAGTTCAGTAAATCCATACATATATATATACATACATGCATACATCTATTAATCCATGTTGATCCATGTTAATTCAGGTAATCCATATATTAATCACAGTTATACATGGGATGGACATTTGTGGATCATTATTGGTTATCGATTCCTAACGATTGTTGGCAACTATTAAACACATAATGACATACCAACTGGAATTGGGCAGTGCCACCAACACCCGATTTTGGAAGCCGCAGTGTGACATGCAGCAATTTTTACCGGAACTTGACGACAACCTTCAAACTGGATGGAAACCTTCCACCCATCTCGCGAAACAATTGGAACGGAGGAGGGTGGGATGCGCGCTGCGAGGTGTAATATCATGAAAGGCCCAGTACGTTTGTTTGTGGCACCTTGAAAATCCCATGGTCGAGCTATCCACACTCTATTGCCAGGCACAGCACTGGATCCGCAAAGCCAGTGATGCCGGGAGTATGCAAGCGAAGCACAGCATCGCTTACATCCAGGCACATCGAGAAGGGGTTTGCTGAAGTTACAGAAAGTTACTGAAACAGGGAGAAAACGCAGTTTGCAAATGACGTTAATATGAGCAGGTAAGGCTTGGAGTGGTAGGACTGTCAGGCAAACTGCTAGCATAATTTTCATGAAGCATGATTCGCATGATTGTGGACTCAGGGTATTTCCAAGAGATGTCACTCCGAGTTGTTTCCCTGAGACTAGCGAGAAGCCTCTCTGCGCTGAAGGCCAATAGTCCCAGCTCAGAAGATCGATCCAGCGCCTGCATGGAGTATTGCAAGCTACTGAAGCTTCAAGATGAACCAGTGCTTGCACGAGGCAGGTTACACATGGTCCTAGCATGTCCTAGCACAATAAGTTTGAACTTCAACATGCCCAAAAATATATGGACATCATTTGCCAGGGACTTTTTTGTTGTGGTTGTTCAAGGGGTTTGTCAGGAGATATCAGGTTGTTGTGCTGATGACCAATTTACCACAACAGAAAATAAAGATGCATGGATGTCGGTTGCAGTCCGCTCGTGTTTGCACTACATTTTTTTTTGCGTCAGTTTGCCTCTGTCAGAGCTTTCCCCCAGAGCTGTATTGAAAAGCTTGCAAAGTCAGGATAAAACAGGAGTACCGAGCTTGAACATACATGATTGGAAATCGAATGGAAATCAAATGCATAACCAGGAACAACTTCTCAAACGGTCAGGCAGGCTCGTTAAAAGCTATTCCTCATTTTTTGGTACTGAGAAAAACCCAAAAATAAACCATCCCCAATATGACCATAAGTGGGTGGTAAAAACTATCCCCAATTGGTAGGTTTATGTTTGGGTTCACCTCATTCATATGGGTTTTCTATGGCTTTCTATGGGTTTTCTATGAGTTTCTTCTCACCAAAACAGGCTTTTTGGGGTATCCGCTTCGATCCATGGCGACCTGATCAGGTCTGGCATTCCTTCAGGTGATGCGTTTGGGCAGCGAAGGTTTCGCCTGCTGTGATCTTCCCATAGCCAACCTGCCATCCAAAAGCACCATCTTGGCGATTTTTGCAAGACACCTGGACAGCAGGACATAGCAGGACTGTTGCGATTGGATGCGATTGTCAGCTCAAGTGTTTTGATTTAGATTGATTTTTGAATATTTAAGAGTCTTTTGAGGGGAATGTGTGTTTGGTATAGATTGATGAAAGTAGATGAATGCAGAGAAGTTTGGAGGTTGTTTACCCATGTTTAATTGTTCAGACCATCAATGTACTGGTGGCGTGCCAGCTTGCTGCGTTCTTACATTCGACTTCAAACGTCAAAACAGTAGAACACCTGACTATTTTCTTGAATTCCTAGACCATTCAGACCTTAGTAGTGGCATTTGTCTGTATTTTGGACAAATGCAGATGAGGCCTTGTAGATGGAAAAGGCTGAATAGGTGACCAATGTTGTTTGTGTCAACATTGGCCACGATCGGATTTCAGAATAGTTGCTCGGAAATTGGCAATTGAATGTATTTGGTTGGTAGCCTTGATGATGTGGCTCATTCTCGTGATTTGCTGGTCAAAGTTTGTTAGAAGTCGTGCTACCGGTTCCCCTCCACTGTGTCCTTTTGTCAAGCCTGCCGGTACAACTAAGGCACAACTGCAGCAGCTGTTTGCTTGGGACTGACCTGCATGGTGGGCTGATTTGCATGGTGGGCTGAAGATCCAGATAGATCATGATAGATCCAGCCTTATTCTTAGTATACAGCGCAGCCCTTGAAGGGCATGACTCGGCACACCATGCATTCCCCATTGCAATTGCTTTAGAGACTGTACAGGTGCACGTGCAGTTGCGCACCAATCCCTGCTCTGGGAGCATGTGCAGACGATACGTAGACGATACGTGCTGAATTCCACAACATCACCATGTTTGATCTTGGTTTGCCTCACCTTTGAACGGAAGGGAATCATCAAAATATGCCTTATTAACTGATGGGCTTCCACGTTTTCTATCTCTCCTCTTCCCTTCGATTCTCATGTGGAGATACAGTCAGAGAACGCACGCACAGTAATATCATACCATGTTCAATATCAAGTACATGTGAGCCTATCTCATTTTTCCACTGCCGCTTGGTTTATGTGCATTTTGTTTATTGCCTCGTATCCAACGGTGTAGCGAGTTGACAGCCATCATCACATCCTTTCTTTTGCCACGTGCTCCTGACATGTGGACATGGCGTCATCGCACCGATGTGGTTGCGAAAAGATACGCAACTACTGTTCATAGCCTGGTATCAAAAATCACTGCTTGAAAAGTTGCAGCTTCTTGACACCCCACAGAAGATCACTGACGCAGTATGTAGATGAAAAGTGCCCGAATTATATAGTGCCCCATTGTGATGGTGGGAAGCAGAACAAGTCCAGTCAACCCTGATATACATCTATAATAAACGAATGGAACGAAGTTGTAGCTGTTTTTTGGCGCGGAACGCAATGCATTTTGGAATATGTGTGCCGTTTGCGCACACGTTTAGATGAGAATTTCCATCCTTCCAGCATCACACATAGTCGTCACACAAACGCCTTAGGCACATAGGTAATCAGACTTGAAAGCCACTTCTCTGTGAATTTTTGGTGGATGCCCCTTAATATGGTAGCCTTTAAAGAGATCTTCAGTCCGCACTGTTTCTTTTTTGTCCACTCTTAGCATCGAGTATTACATAATTGGCAAGTGCAGGTTCTATACTCGTATATCGTGTTGTTTTGTCAGTATATATCGTCTTGTAATGTATTATATCATATTATAATTTTTATCATATTCTATTATATTTTGTCGTATAGTTTAACTGCAACTCTCAGAAAGCTGGTCCATCACAGTCCCACCTTTGGGGCTCGCCAGTTGCGTCCGAAGTTCTGGGGCGTTTGAATGCAGTCAGCGGCCTCAGATGTTTCGGTGACTTTGACACCCCTTGGTTAATGGTCGGCCACGGGTTTACAGTATATCTATAAAATTCTATAGATATATAGTCTAGATAATGTATTGATTCTCTGTTGTGCGACTTGTGCGCTGACTCTTCAAGCTAGCAAAGCTAGCAATGCATTATAGCACCAAAGTAGCCACACAGATGAGACTTGGAGCTATAATTGGAGAGGAGGACATGTTTGCCTCCCAGACATACATTCTCAAAATATGTTCCCAACAAAGGTGCCAAAAGCTTGCTAGAGATGTGCAAAGAATCAGAACATGGACATGGGTGCCATATGGTGCAATTGATGTAGTCATCCAAATTTATCGAACTGGCGATGACTTCAGGCTGTGGCCGTTGCAGAGAGATCCACACAGCCAGAGGTGTCTCCGCCGGAGAAAAAACAAACACAAACCTGGTGTGCATGGAGTATTGATGTTGTTGGATGTTGAGATCATTGAGATCATGTTTGTTCATTTCTGAAGTTGTTTGAGTATTTCCGTCTCCAAACTGTGATGATCCTTTACTCTTGTGAGGTTTGTGCTGTATTCCTAGAGGCAATGGAATGGTAAAGGCTTGGCTGCAAAAGTTGCGCATCAAGGCCCTCACCAGCTGGTGGCCACTGCTGCTGTCGCTGCTTGGTATTGTATTGGCCTGGCACCAAGTTGAACTTGGGGCTCTCCCGGGACATCCCTCGAAACGATTGGAAACCAGCACCTAATGATGCTGCAATGATACTTGGAGTTTTGGAGATAAATCTTGAGGTCTAAGAGAAATTGCCATGTTTTTGAAATGTTTTGAAGCCCTCTTTGATATTTGTTTAAGATATCTGACAAGCAGAGGACTTCTGACTTTTCACTCTAGATGCACGAGACCATTTTGGCTCCCCGCCACACCTGATGGGTTTGACTGTGGATGGCTTGCAGGCCCTTTTCTCCTGGCTACGTTCAGGTCAACTGGGGCTTCTACAGTACACGCTTTTTCAACATGAGATTGCGACCCAAGATGAAATACATCGTATAATGAATGAATGTAAATGAATCATGAACTGATATGGTTGAGTGAGGATAACTTTAAAAGAAATGAATAATGCTTGCTCATGCGGCTCATGTGGTAAGGCAAACATCTGGAGTTCTGCAATTCAAATCAAGTGCCGGCATGGATTCTGCACGTCCAGATGACCTTCAGCGTTGTGAGTCTCTTACACGCATTGACCAATCTATGCAAACGCCACCACAAATACACAGAGGTGTGACATGGTGTGACAACAAGTACCTGGTACTCGATGGTATTCGTTTGTTTTTCCAAGAAGACCACACATGCAAGAATTTGATGGACGGTGGCAGGTGGGAAGTCAACTCGACACCATAGCAAAGTGGACTGATACGGGCCTGCTTCTAGCTGCTGTGTATAACAGAGGCTGCTCGAAAGCTAGAAGAGCTAGCCTTTCGACCTTTCGCATGAAAAGATTGAAGCAGTGAGAAAGCGGGGCTCCAGGCATAATCATGATATATCATGATCAGCTGTTGGCGAAATACTGTGCAAAGCTCCACGGAGAGCAAAGAGAAGCAAACGTGTCTAGAATGCAACGCATGTTTGCAGGTGTAGACAAACGTGTTCTTAGCGGTCTTTGTGCAACTGCATATTTTGTCGTATTTGGTCGTCATTGATTCATATATGGCAGTGCTTCTTGGTTGGTAAGCTGAACGATGGTCACACTCATTTTTTTCACAGATGCCTGTTGGTAGGAAGAGTTGCCCTAAAGACGAACTGCAGCGTAGGCTCAGAGTATGAAAATGAGTGTTGAATCTTGAAGAAATGACTAAACAATCCTAAACATATCTACAAACTTTAGTGGGACGAGATTAGTGTAACAGCCCATGGCAATAGATTTCAAGCTATCTATGATCTGTAATTAGGTGGATGAGAGTTTTTGCATGAAGCTCGTATGACCAGTTTTGATTCGAACTTTGGTTCCAAGAAGACGGGAAACATGGAGCAATATCTGGGACAGTACGTGCCCAAACAAAAAGGTACCCCCGCACAGACAATTCTCCATGATCACTTTGAAAAGCCACCATTGAATACCTTGCGAATGGCTTGCCAAAATGGTGCTGTTCTTACGCCAACTCGGGTGGTTATAGCAGCTAGTATAGCTGCGCCCAAGTTGCTACGGCTACGTATGATGTCGATCGCCTTTTACTTTCGACTTGGTGAATTCCTCCTGCTGAATCAGCATGATAATGTTATATAATGTAGCAGAGTGCAGCAATGCCATATGGTTCAGGAATGTCCAGGATCCCTGCGGATAGATGCAGATAGTGCACAGCTCATTGTTGGTGGACCCAAGGCGATGCGGAACAAGCACAAGGAAAAACGCATGGCGCAGGCATGAGGAAGTCCTGGGAGGTCGCCGTTTCACGGACGTTCTTTGATTGAGACCATCCTGCAATTGTACAAAAATTGCAGCTACCAGTAGTATCCAGTAGTAGTATAGCATTCCATAATACATTAAGTTATATTCCCTTATATTCCATTATATTCCATTATATTCTACTAAATATTACTATCATTAATACAGTAAATACATCATATTCTATAGCTGCACTCAGCAAATCAAAATCAAAGGTCTCTGTTTTGCTTCAGGAAGACCCAGGAGCAACAGAAGGCCAGGCTTTCGTGCGGATCGGGGTGACGGACCCCTTTAACCGCAATAAACCATGGCCTTCCAACGGGAGACATATTTGGAAAGAGACACTACTTGGTGCCGTTATGTCGTTATTTTAATCTATTTTTGGTTGGAATACCATGTTCTTCGCGATTGGTTTTCTAGCATGGCAGCTTCGGACAATGCAAAGCTATTTTGGATGGTTGTCACAAAACTCATTGATCTTAGAGATGGACGGAAATTGTGACTCTTCATCCAAATAGAGATTGAAGCACATTGACGGCAGCATCTATATACCTAGTCTAACTGAATCTGAAGAACTAGGGGACGTAGCAGCTACCATGTTTCTGTTCAAGCAGAATTTGTGAGTTGTTTTGCGTTTCTTGTTCCTCTTGTTGTCGATGTTGCTGCTGATGGGGCTGTCCCATCAGCGTCCTCATGCTCGACGTTGACGTTGTCCGTGTCGTTGTGTTTGTTACAGTTGCAGTTGTTACTGCTGCAATCGCTGCTGTTGTGGTTGTGGTTGTGGCTGTGGCTGTGGCTGTGGCTGCGGCTGCGGCTACGGCTGCGGTTGTTGTTGTTGTTGTTGTTGTTGTTTGGTGGTTGTTGTTGGTTGTTGGTTGTTTGTTGTTTGTCGTTTGTCGTTTGTTGTTTGTTGTTTGTCGTTTGTTGTTTGTTGTTTGTTGTTGTTTTTTTTGTCTGTTAGTTAGTTAGTTAGTTAGTTAGTTGGTTAGTTGGGTAGGTTTGGTAGGTAGATTGGTTGGTTGTTGTCGTCGTTGCCGCAGTCGTTTGAGTAGCTAAATCACATACAGCGTATTTTTGCTCAAGGGCAATGGCGCCGGCTGCAAGGTCTGTGCTTGCGCAGTGCGGACCAAAAAGGTGCGACCAGAGATCTTCGATTCTCGTGGGAGATAGTCCCTTGGATCCCTTGGGATGTTTTCAAACTTTTCAAACTCTCTCAATAAATTCCACATAGTGCACTAATGTGCACTATATATCTCAACGTACCTTCAGCTGAATTTGGTGAATTTGGTGAATTTGAAGTTCAAGACAAGGGCCCAGTGGCTTCAGTGGCTCCAGCGATCTCCAGGGAGTGGTCTCCTGTTGTCGCCTCCTTGGCGCAGTACCTGTCAGGGCGCACTGGTCGCCTACGAGGATGGAGCGACTCTGATGATGGAGGTGACCAAGGGTGAGGATCAACGGTAGCCTGGTTGGAACATGGATTCCAGATCATACTATATCATATATAGTATTGATATGTATTGATAATAGACAATCCTACTATTGGTAGACAAACATTAATCACCTGACAGCAGACAGGATAACATAAAGAGACATTGACGTTCCTATTGTATATATAGATAGAGAGAGATATATGTTACAAACCATGCGAATGTGGTACACCGACTGATAAGGTGATGTAGATGCATGCAGAATATGCATGCCAGACCTGCTTCTACTGGTTCGCCATTGCAACTTTTGACTTGTAAGAGTCTGATTATAATTGAATCTGTTAAGGGAATGCGATTATATAATTGAGAGTGCGCAGATGCGCACTGCATTAGCAGATGGCTTCCAAACAAGGAGCTCATCCTCTCCAAAAGTATATTTGTCATAGGAAACATGAATTTCGCAACAGCAAGTGGTGTGAAAATGCGATAGCAACCGAAGTTTAGTTGCTAGAATCCTCACTCATTGGCTCATGGAGGCACCAATGAAATGCACGAGCACTGCCAGGTCGAAACAATTTCTGTGCCCATATCCCACATAGGCTAAGATCCTTCCAATCGAGTCCAACAAAGGGCTGACTCTGTGGCTTGGCTCCGGAGGTCAAGTAGAGAAGCCCAAGCGGAAGAAGCGCCGAGCCGTGCTCTGAGTGCTGCTTTGGAGCAGGAAGATGCCAGATGATGCCAGATGTTCATCTCCCAGTGACTCCTCCCCACGTGGCCCTTGGTAAGAATTGAGAGCATTTGAGAGATTTTGAGAGCTAAGGTATTCAGAAACTGCAGAAACTGAAACTGCCTTTTGTTTGATTGGGAAGTACAGTGAAGGCTGTCAGCGGGGCTCCCGCCTTTGCACTTCCTTTAAGGCAGTCACAACGACTCTGGAGCACGAATTGGACTCTCGGCTTGACAATGAGTCTATGATGGTAGGATAAGCAGCAGTCTCCCAACATCTCCCAACATCTCAAAAATGATGTTTATGTCGATTTGTTTTCACATGGGCCAGAGAAGGCACACCACTTCACAAGTTCCAACGAATTGGCACAAGTGCTTGCTGAATTTCACGTTGGAGAATCATTGCATTAATTGCTGGCGGAGACAAAACAAATTGCCCAAACAGTTTGTGAGTTTCAAATATGTCACAACATATCTCAACCCTATAGGAAGCCTGAGATTTGCTCCACTTACCATGTGTAACCTCAATAGCTGACGGCTGCAGGAAGAAGGTGGACATTTCCAGGCTCATGCTACGCATTTGGGACAACCTGGCACCTATGAAGAGGAAACTGATGTGTTCACCAACTTTTTCAACAGCCATTGAAAGACATGCTGGGTCTTGCAAGAGTGAGATGTTGAGTATCCTGTTTGGCTACAGTGGGGGCAGCCCTCTCCTATCACGTGGGTAGACGAATCGATGCTATCGGATCGCTGCCCTTCCAGGAGCCAGTGAAGGTGCGCAGAAAGCAGGCCCTTGAGCTCTCATTTTTTGGCTTGGGTCTCTTAGTGGAGATGATTTTTTTGTATAGTTCAGTAGCTCTTGTATGGGCAATTCACCATGTCTACTGTATTCTTTTGGACAGGGCCTGTTAAAGGTGCTAGAACGCTAGAACTCTGGGCTTGCCCTGAGTCGTGTTGTGATCACATGGAGAGTCCCTGGTGAGACAATATTTTCTACGCTGGCAAATTCTGGGTCATGCGAGGAGAGGGTGGCAAGTAAAAGCGCATTGAACGAACTGTACTTTGGACATGCGCGTGTTCACAGTCCACGATGGCTTCGCACAATCTAATTCGTTACGACTCTTTTTGCAGCACATTTGCGGAGATCAGTTATAGATGAAACTGAGCACATCATATCACATCATCTTCGTTTAATATACATCAAACTATTCTGGGTCTTCTCCCAGAGTGTGGTTTAACTTTGTGCTACCTGGCGCCATGTTGCGGCAACCTGGAATGTGGGGCCAATGGGCCTCTCCTATGCACGTGCCATTTGGACATGCACCATACACAGGTTCCTGGCCTCAGAGACGTCTGGAGAGTCAATCTTAGTTTGAAGGATGATGATTTAGGATTATTTGGGCACAAATGCAAGTCATTCGCTATCATTCGCTCTTGGCCCCCCCGAGAAGGAATGTTGTGGTAAGGATTGTCGTGTTTCTTTAATGAGGCACTTGCTGGCGCTGTTTGGCGTGCAGAATCATGCCAACTTGTGCAGTGCAGGGTGGACTTGCTTGGCAGAGATGTTCGAAATCTGCTGTAAGGGCATCTCTCTTGGGTGATCCAATTTGTCTATTGCTCTCGGCTGTTGTGATTTCATTGACTCCCAGCCAGAATAAATCAAGCAGCGCTCAGCAACGAATTGGAATCCTAGGAGCACTTCTCATAGTGTGCCCAGGTCAAACATTGATCCGTCATAGCTGCCAGATGATTTGCCACCCCATGCCGCACCTGGAAAAGTCCTTTAGCCAAGCTGCTGGGCATTTTTGTTGAGCAGCTTGATGGGCCCGGTGGAGCTTTTTCTAAACACGAATTGAGAAACATGCGAAATGACAAGGTACAAAACACATATGTTCGAAAGTATCTATATAAAATTATATAAATATGTGATTAAAAATCTATCAGATAGATTCAATTAGATTCATATAGTATAATATGCAGCTGAAAAAGCAGTCCTGTACAGATCTCAAGTGAATGGTGACATCCCGTGACCCAAGCGATGCAGATCCCAAGAAATGGACCCCCCAGATTGACAATGGTAGTGCTGCGGTTGAAACATGTGACAACTATGATTCCAATCATTCCAACCATATCCATAGTTTCCATAGTTTCCTATTTTTTCCTTTCCAAATCTGATTAATGTTGATAAGTCAATCATAAACCACCCAGATGGATTGATGCTTTATAGCACCCATTTATAGTAAAATTGGGGATTGATTATTGCTTTCCCATATTGTTTTTTTTGACCCAGAAACCAGGCTCGACCAGACCATGAGCGTCGGATGGTTCTAGCCCTTCTGGCGCTGGAAGCTGCAGCCAGCGGCCGGTCGAGCAACGGCTCCAGCCGGCCGAGGCTCAATTCAGATCCAGCCACTGGGAATCAGCTTGGCGGCCAGCAGAGTTGGGAATGAAACGTGGGGTTAACTTCTGACAAGTTAAAGGTCAAACTTCCGACAATATGGACAGATGAAGCAGCAGAGCTGGGAAGAGTCAGAAAAGAGAAAGGAAGAAGAAAGAAGATCAGAGAAAAGAAACAGTCAGAAGAAAGAAGATCAAGGTGCGCGAAAAGGGAAAAGTCGCGAAAGACTGTGTTTTTTAAATATATGTTTTGTGGCACCGGAGGGTGGAAAAGTAGGCTCCTCGCTAAAGCGGCGATGCGGAGCCATTTGGTCGGATGAGAAATCAAAACATTGCACGCGGCTGTGGCGCGAAGCGCATTTTGAAGTCAAAATGCACAGAACACCTCAGGTTCGGATCGCTTTTGGACGTTGAGATGTCGAAAAAGTGCATGCTGTGTGGCGCTAAACGCACCTCGGGTCCGGAGCACTTTTGGCAGGTGAGCTGTTGAAAAAGCGCACGCGGCTGTGGCACGAAGCAAATTTCGAAGTCAAAACTCAAAACGGTAAAACACTGCGGACTCGGACCACATTTGGACGTTGAGATGTGTAAAAAGTGCACGGCGTTTTGGCGCGAAGCACATTTGCAACCCAAAAATGTTCAAAACTGACAGATAGACAGATAAAAAGATAGATGAAGATAGACAAATAGGCAGATAGACAGACATACAGACAGACAGACAGATAGATCGATAAGACAGACAGACAGATAGATCGATAAGATAGATAGATAGATAGATAGATCGATAGATAGATGGATCGATAGATCGATAGATCGATAGATCGATAGATCGATAGATCGATAGATCGATAGATCGATATATCGATAGATAGATAGATAGACAGATAGACAGATAGACAGATAGACAGATAGACAGATAGACAGATAGACAGATAGACAGATAGACAGATCGACAGATCGACAGATAGACAGATAGACAGATAGACAGATAGACAGATAGACAGATCAGATAGATCAGATAGATCAGATAGGTCAGATAGATCAGATAGATCAGATAGATCAGATAGATCAGATAGATCAGATAGATCAGATAGATCAGATAGATCAGATAGATCAGATAGATCAGATAGATCAGATAGATCAGATAGATCAGATAGATCAGATAGATCAGATAGATCAGATAGATCAGATAGATCAGATAGATAAGATAGATAAGATAGATAAATAAGATAGATACGATAGATAAGATAGATAAGATAGATATGATAGATAAGATTGTTTGTTTGATTTATAGATAGATAGATCAATAGATAGATAGTTAGATAGATAGATAGTTAGATAGATAGATAGATACATAGATAGATAGATAGATAGACAGATAGACAGACAGATAGACAGATAGACAGACAGATGGATGATAGATAGATAGATAGATAGATAGATAGATAGATAGATGGATGATAGATAGATAGATGGATAGATAGATAGATAGATAGATAGATAGATAGATACTGTAGATAGATAGATAGATAGATAGATAGATACATAGATAGATAGATAGATAGATAAATAGATAGATAGATAGATAGATGGATAGATAGATATAGATCGATAGATCGATAGATCGATAGATCGATAGATCGATAGATCGATAGATAGACAGATAGACAGACAGATAGATAGATAGTTAGATAGATAGATAGATACACAGGTACCCAGATCGTTAGATAGATAGATAGATAGAAAGATAGGTAAATAGATAGATAGATAGATCGATAGATAGATAGATAGATAGACAGATAGACAGACAGATAGATATATAGTTAGATAGATAGATAGTTAGATAGATAGATAGATAGTTAGATAGATAGATAGATACACAGGTACCCAGATCGTTAGATAGATAGATAGATAGATAGGTAGGTAGGTAGGTAGGGAGATAGGTAGATAGGTAGATAGGTACATAGGAAGATAGATAGATTAGATGGATGGATGGATAGATAGACAGATAGACAGATAGACAGGGAGATAAACAGAGAGATAAACAGAGAGAGAAACAGAGAGAGAAACAGAGAGAGAAACAGAGAGAGAAGCGGAGAAAGAGACTCAGAGCCTCAACCACTTGTCGATAAGTTAATGGGTTCGCTCTGCCATGCATTCATCACGACAGTTGTCTACAGTCTGTTTGGCCTGTGGCTTCTTGACTATTGAAGGACTTGACCTCAACATTGTTTTAATGTGTGAACATCAGAATTCTTAGATCTGAATGGATCTGACCCATCCAGGAATTCGACGGTTTGGTGTCAGGTGTTGGGCCTACTCACAATTTCCAGTGCTACCCTTCCAGCACCGCAAATGTGCTTTCATCAGGCTTCATGCAACAAATGGCATGGGGTGAACTATGGGAATCGCTTTATACCAGAAGATTGGATGAGGCCCGAGGGTGCGTTGCTTACATACCTCATGGCCAGATTCTCATTTGAAATTCTTGGAACCCTTATAAATTGTCATGGTGGGTGAAAAAAATCTGGTGAAATAGTTTTTGCTTCGAACAGGAATCGCGTTCTTGCAGCTGTCAGGCTGTCACATCAATGTGAATGCATAGAAATCCCTTCCACTTTCAGCTGACCCTTTTCCAGTAGGCATCCCTACAATTTCTTCCAGAACGTCCGCCGAAGTGCACGACGGGTAGCTTTATGGGATTTGAAAGGACCAGAAGCAAAACGCAGGACCTCCATCCAATGCATGTTGGGATTGTTGGGCATGTCGTTTCTTTTGTGCTTTGGTTCGGAGTGCACGTGGAATGAAGTCATGTGTGCTTCAGTGTAAGAAGTATAGACAGTATAGAATTCAAACTGAGAAGAAAAAACATGTTAGTGGATTTGATCAAACCTTGTATCCAAGCAAGTGCAGCCCCACTCAAACAGTGTTCAAAGGCACACGCCTGGACAAACAAACACACAGGTCGTTTGACACCTTCACACAGTGGCAGTAGATTATAATACTCACGGTGCCAAAATCTGCCCACCCTGCAGGATGATGTCATGGCTAGATGCCACCATCTTAGAGAGTCACTTTGCAGAGATGAAAAGCATGGGCGTGGAAGTGATACGCGTCCCTTGTGGCTACTGGAACTGGGTCACTTATGCCCATGATGATGGACCAGAAGTCTCAGGAGTCTACGCCACAGGCCCCATTCGTGAAGCTTGATGGTCAATAGACTTGCAGACTTTGCAGACGATGTGCAAAGGTTGTCACAACGTGACTGTTGATACAATGCTTCCATGCTCTAACTTGCTGCTTGTGAACTGCGATTTGGAGTGAATCATGTGAATCATGTGAATCATGTGAATCCAGAGTCCCAAGATGTCCCAAAATGTCCCAAGATGTCCCAAGATGTCCCAAGGAAAGCATGAAAAACCTTCATCGAATCGCCTCACCGCGGGAATATCGGAAATACTTTGACAGAATCTTCGAATTCGCAGAGCGGCATCTCATACGCAGATCTCTCTCTGGGGAACCAGGGGCCCGATTCAATCTGAAGAGCGCGTGTTTCCCAAGTGTGTTTGAGGACCCACCTTGAACTCACAGATTCTAGCTGTGTTTCGGCATGAGCAGTTGAATTTGTTCATTTCTTTGCGTGAGTTTTGATGTTTCTTGCAAGGGTCAGACGTTTCTGTGTCAGGGGTTTTCCCAAAGTCATTCTTCTGGCCAGGCACATTGTTAACATGCTTTCTGATGGTTTGGCACAACGAAAATTTGTTTGGCCTTGCAGTTGAAGCACAGCAAAAACAAGTGCAATCAAACTGGCTGTGTTCCAGTTTTGTATGTTGTGTGCTCTAGTTTTGGGATGCGTTTATTGCAAAGTGGTTCTTTGTTACAGAAACTCATTAGTGGTGAACCGGACGCACTTTATTTTTGTTGAGTGTGCTCAACCTTGTTGCCTCAGGCATGGAGTACAAATATTGCTGGATTTGCATGGTTTGCCAGGACTTGCCAGATAGTTGTGTCGAATTTGGTGCAGAGCAAAAGTGCCAACTCGAACCTCTGCCGATTCAAGGATTTCAATTATGAGCAAACTTCTTGTAAACCTTTCGTCTCCTTGTTGTTCTGATGCCTTGTTGTTCTGATGCCTTGTTGTTCTGATGCCTTGATCATTGCATTTTAATTACTGTGTCATCCTTCATCCTGTACATGTGAGAGGATCTCAAAATGGAGAAATCCACAGCGGCGTTTGCATCGAATCCAAGGATGAACATTTAGGTTTCTTCCAGTGCCAGGCCCGATGTTTTTGTCCATATATAATGGGGTGTCACATGGTAGGAATCCAGGATCGTTTGATAGAAATCAGCTTTTTAACAGTGTCCGACCAGTTGGATGGTTTCATGGGACTCCTGCTTCCCTGTTCATCCGATGTTCCTTGAGGCGAACCTTCAAATGGCGGTTGAAGCAGTCCGCGAAATGGCGAGATACGCAAAGAGCACCTTGATTTGTTCATCTCTTCACATCTTGACAGGGTTCAACCGGGTTCAACTGCGCGCCTGATAGTGTGAAAGCCCCTACCAGAGCCTGGACCCCATTTGGACCACTTGGAACTCAAGATATCTCAAGATAACTCAAGCTCCCAGGTCCACGAGAATACCCATTACAGAACGTCCATTGCAGAAGATTGCAGAATTCGCACTGAGCATTTGAGAATGACTTCATTCGGTTTACCAAAGACTTGATTGCTTCTACACCACATCCGTTTGTTGTTTCATTCTTTCCAACATTGCAAATTTGCTGGCCTCAGTTGCATTCATGCCGAGGTAAGCGGAATCTGTTTGGCATCCAAGTGATTAGCGAGCCTCACCTACACACTGATGAAGGACATTCATTCTTGGAATCTTACTATCAGCAAGCAATTTTGGCTGCAAGAGAGTTCCTGGATCCTTCCGTGCCAATCGTGCTCTTCGAATGGACTTACGAGATGTGCAAATGGGACGACAATGCCTTTCCAGAGTCGATCTACGGCAAAGTGGCTTGGCCTAATGCTCGGCAGCTTACAATAAAGGATCAACATGGGGTGTGAGAACAGCCATTTACATCCATTTACCAGATTTACCATGCAGATCATTGCAGATCTTGATTGTAGCAGATACTTCTGTATCTTCGGAGGACCAGCCTGGATGAATCTTTTTTGGGTTGGACTCATCGGCCAGAAATTCCAGCCAGGTTTGCTGGGACACCCATCTCTACCACTTTCCATCCTCGGGTCAGACGTGGACCTCGCAGAACAACGGCTTGGAACAAGCAAAGCACCTTGGGCCGAAAAAAGTGGGACCCATGGTGTGCGAGATATGGTATGATGATGATTGATATGATGTGAGATCGGTCGCCTAGTCTTTGATCATACCATGTCATACCATTGTTATTTCATGCCTTTTAAAATGCAGCTGAAATAGCTTGAGTCTCCTTGAGTCTCCTTGAGTGATTGAAGCAGTGAGTTGAACACATTGAGGCAAGCGTATTCCTGGGATTTGCAGCAACTGCGGCAATTTTCAAAAGCACAAGGTCGAGACAAGGTCTTCGTTTGTGAGTTCTCCCTTGCTGGGCCAAGTCTCAATTCACCAGAGACTGTTGAATTCGCAGAATGGTTGGCGCCTTGCCTCCGATTCGAAGTGTGGCTCCCTGCATCTTTCAACAACAGACTTTCGGAATTGGGAGCTGTTGCTACTGCCTTCTATTCCTTAATTATACACTCTTATACATCCTTATACCATCTTATACCGATATCAGGATTAGTTTCCACAACAATTCCTCCAGGGATGTTGTTGGTTTCTTATCGTTTCCTATCAACATAAAAAGAATCTTTTATGATTTTTATGGAGCTCTAAATGCATCACTTTGTGGATATTTTTTCAGCAGTGCGACCGCATGCGAGGTGCAGCAAATGGATTTCGCTTGCGCTGGTTCTATGCTTTGGTCGTACGACAACAGAATCACTGCGTGGAGTGCCTTGGACCGTTAGGGCCAACAGCCTTGACAAGAACAGGGCAGCTCTAGAGCAGTTACATGCTTTGCTGGATCGCACCAGCTATTTTGCAAGGTAAAAGTGACTAAAGTGATTTCAATACATGAAAAGGTAGCCGAGGGAGTCCTGTATTCCATAGTCCATGATAGTCCATGATATAGTATATGATATAGTCATGTTTGTAGTGAAACCATTGGTGGATTTAGCGGAAATCTCAAACATCAAGGCCTGCAACGTCAGTGCCGCGAGTGGGGGGTGGATTGGAAGCGCATTTGGGCGACTCGTGACAACGCACGAGAAGGCGCAGTCGTCGGAATTCGAGCTGCTTCTTTCGGAACGTGGCTGACTGCCAATGACCAAGGAGCTGTGGCGGCTGTGGTACAGTGGACAGGAACAACATGGAACAACTAGCATTCAATACATTTCAATACTGATGATACAGAAGTGTGCAAGTCCAGTTTTTGGCGTCATTTTGGACATTGTTCGGATTTGGCTACATTTATCTATCAACTATACTTACCCTAGGGTAGTGCAAACTCCTTATCTTGAGAAGTAGAGATGCGGATTGAAAACCTGGTTGTTGACGCTGTCTAAATCCCGTAAACATCCACTGAAAAATGTGTCGTCAAACAAGAGCCATTTAGTCAAACCGAATGAAACCCTGGTTTTGATAATATGTTTTGAATTGTTTTGCACTTCCCAAGATTTCCCAGTCAAAGGTGACTTGGGTTTTTCCCTCCCTGCAGGAGCCGTAGAGGCAGATGCTCCCGAGCACTCTTGGTGGGAAGAGTGGGCCCTTTGGCCAAAGGGTGCCAGTCGCATGGGGCGGAGATGCTGATTGCAACATGTGACATGCAACGAACCCATAAATTGCAGATCCATTTGGAGATACTTGGAGGCTTCTCACGTTTGACATCGCTACCAGTGTTTACAACCAATGCAGGTTGGCTTCCTCTGGAACAGTTTGAGTGAGAATAACAAAGCAACAAACAATCAACAAACCATCAATGGTCCAATCAAGACCATCCGAGATGAGCAAAAACTTGATTATAGATAAACATTATACTGCATATTGTTTTTTCATGTGTTTTCTATGTGCCAATGTGTTTCAAATCGTATTTTTGAGGTTCCATATCGGTACAGCGTCCAGGGCAAGGCAAAACTTGCTCTGAGATCTGCTGCCTTTGGAACGTGGCTCAGTGTCACCAGTGAGGGTGCAACTTGGCAGAACAATGCTGCGATTCTTTTGGGCTTCAGCCAGAGAATCGGAGGATTATTTTGTGCGAGATCAGGATTGATTTATGGTTGGTGGTGATGTTGAACACAGTCTCAGCATCTTAGCAAGATTTCAAACACTGCTCAGGTATTAATCACACAGAGGCAAAAAGGTGACAGTCTTTTAGATATTTCCAGAATTTTCCAGATCTGTCCAGTATTTTCATCCAGATCTCCTGTGCAATTGGAATGTGGACTTGCAAGCTAGTTGCACTCCAGGAAGTCACACAAGCTGAGAACAGGTCTGCCTGGGAGGACTGGGTGGTTTACTTCTGGGGTGCCAAGACAGGTATTGAAACCCAGATGAAACCAACAGGTCGCAATAGGTGTGCACAGCAGCTGCTAAAAGGCATTCTCCAACCATAGCTGCCATAGCTGTGCAAAAGGGGTGGTGGGCCCTAGACCCGATAAATCCTCGCTGAGGGAAATGATCAGAGTTTCTGTGATATGTTTCCTTGGTGTCTTTCTTACATGCTTTGGTGTCTGACGTTGTGGACCAGACAACTCCGATTGCACTTAATGTTTGAATCATCAACAGTCTTGCGAGCATCCTCCCGCCTATTTCCTCTATCACATGTGGTTCTTGACACCCAGAAATCTCTAGATCTTATAGTCATTTCCCTATAAAGTTTAAATCTGGTAGCCAAAAATACGGGAATATTTAAGAAGGTGTTCTTGTATACCATGGTGCTTGAGCTTAAAGAAGTATTAAAACAGTGCTGTTTTGGCTTCCTTGCTTTTTCTCATCAAAAAGCAACCTGATGAAAGCGCATTTTGTAGTGGGGACAGGGACAGCTGGTATTGCAGGAAACCATCTCAAGTTTGTATTTCAAAGTCTTCAAAGATCCAGGGGAATAGTGTGCAAATCCAGGAGTTTTCAGTTCTTTACCATGCAGATCATGATGGTCATCAATGCATCTCTCTTCAGTCCTTTCATGGATCTTGGCTTGCAGTCTCTTGGATGAAAGCGTGCACGGCGTGTACGAAAGCTTCAGCATGTTTCAGCATCACCATGGAAGTCCGGGGAATCTCAAGAGATCCAGCTGTGGCGCATGGATTTCATGCTTTCCCCAGTAGCATCGAGTAACGAATCTAGATCCATCTAGTACATACAGATCATATCAGATCATACAGACGTCAAACATCCTTCGGGATCGCCTGCTTCCAGTCCCGGATTTGATGTTGCAGCCTTCCAGGGAGCATAACAAACTCACCTCAAGTTGTGGCTGATTCTTGAAACTGGTTTTCCTCAAAGGATGCGTGTTTGCAGCTTATTGTTCTGGTCTCTATTTGTCTCAACTTTGCACGACAATGCATTCTTGCTTGCAGACCTGACTTCTTGGACAGATTCTGGTCACAGTAGTGGAAAAATGGAATCACAGTAACATGAGTCTGCAGGTGAGAGGAAGATAGAGGAAGGAAGTGCGCGAAAATTGCGCGAAAACACAATCTTTTTGCAGGTTTTTGTGGCGGTCGCCAAGGGTTTTTTGTGTTTTTGCGGTGCAGCTCGGGCTGGGAAAGCCGTTGGGAAAAAGTGCACGAGACAGAAAGCCCATTCCGGATGAAAATGTACAATCACATCAAATCACTACAATCTCGAACCACTCTTGAAAGGTCAGGTGGGGAAAAAGCGCATAGGCATAGCTTTAGTGAGAGCTCGATTTTGCGGGGACGGTGCCCGATTTGGTCCCACCCATGCTTTGTGGAATTGGATCCAGAGCATGGAAAAACGCAGTGGAACTGCTGCGCCAGGGATGATAGACTTTTAGCTGTGACCCAATTCTGTGCCCTGTGGGAATGCAATTGGTGGTGGCTAAACGCGCTTGAGGCGCTGAGTGAAGAGAAGAATGGCTGCACAGAAGAGGTAGCTCAGAGAAGTAGTTCAGAGAAGACGTGGCTGGGAGATGCTGCGGGAATGTAGTTCAGAGAAGAATTGGCTGAGGGAAGAGGCTATGCAGAGAAGAGGTAGCTCACAGAAGGAGTGGCAAAGAGAAGGGGTTGTTCACACAACAGGCAGTGCCCAAAATAAGTGCCTCAGAGAAGTTTCCAAGAAGAAGTAGCGCAGAGAAAAGATTGCTCAGACAAGGGGCAGCTCAGAGAAGCAGCAACCCGGAGTAGAGGAAGCTCATAGGAGAGTTGGCCCAGGGAAAGTGTAGGCGAAAGAGGTAGCTCAGAGAGGAGCTGCTTCAGGTGGCTATTTCTGATTGGCAGCCAAGGTGAGACGCTTCAACGGCCCAGCCAGCCGCTTGTTGCTTTCTTCAGCATATTCCATCCATGATACCGAGGTGCTTCCGACAGGAGTTGGATCTAAAGACGCTTTAGGAATGCATAGATGCGCTGCGCAGCAAACAAATTATATAATTGTTGACATCAATAAGGCTGATAAGGCTTAAGTCCAGCAGACTGAAAAGAACGTGTTGAAGGTTCGTGCTGTGCAGGGCGGGTGTTGTGGGATTCTTACCCATCCAGTTCAGCACAGACAGACTGTTGGTTGCAAACAAATTTTCAGATCAGCAAACTCCATGCGGAGTTTGAAATGCCAGGTCAACACTGCATGGCTAGTGAACTGAGTTTCCAGCAACGCGCACGATGAATGGTGTGATTTTCCCGTATGTTATCCCGTTTTTCCTGCATGTCGACACTGTCAATTTGACAATTTATGCATCTAGAGTAGGATTATTAGGACAAACGAAGGCTGGCTGAGAGAGCTTGCTGATCAGAATCGAAAGGTGCCAAGATGCTCCAAGCAACTACGGAGATAGTTTTAGAGTTTTGACCTGGTCTCATGATTGCTTTTCCCCACACATTGTTTTTTCCCTGCAGCAATATGCAGCAATCAGTAATCTGCTGGGTCTCCTGTTTTGATTCCGTCACACATGTATACACATGCGACATGATTTCCCTTATAGTGTTTTGTTATGTTTTGTTGATCGTTCAAGCCAAAGATCAGCGGCCTTCGCGCCAAAAAAGGCTTTAAATCTCGAGGTTCTCGACTGCAAAGATAGTGAGATAATCCAATTGGTCCATAACAGGGCCCTCTTCCGGTTCCAACGACATGCGTCGAGCTTCGCAATGTAGGCTTGGCGCTTTTGTTGTCGCACTTCCCCAAGGGGAATGGATCCAAAGTGGAATTGAACATCCGGTTATCTAGTGAGAATCTAGTGAATGTAAGGATTTGCAGGGATTTTTGAAGTCCACAGGAAGAGATGTTGCATGATTTGGATGTACAGCCCGTTACCAATTTTCGAGATGTGTCAGATTGTACTGTAGCTGGTTCCATCTCAGTGCTTTTCAGGACCTTCGTAAAGTCTTTTCCCAGAGTAGAATGCGCATTTGGTGCAGTTGTGTCTGTCAAGTGTGGTACACCATCAACACGACTTAATGATGAGTGAAACTCAATGTGAATTGATCCAACAATCAACGATGCTGCCTGATTTTCCCAGTTTTACCGTTTGGGCAGCATGCAATACATTTAAAATTCAAAAGCATCATAAAGATTCATAAAGCATCATATTTACTGAAAACAGAGTGTCCTGTTGAATAGTCCTGTTGGACTTGCATCCCTGCACATCCCACCTTTGCTTGCGCTGGCCATTTGGCAATTGCCGGCCTGGGCAGTCTTAATCAGTCTTAGCAATCTCCCTAGCTGATCCGTTCTGGAGGTGCAAGGAGCTCCCAGAAAATGAATGTTCCACGAGCTGTTGCATGATTTTAGTTCATCATTATTGGTATATTATGGTTCATTTGGTTCGCAGAAATCCAAGCGGAAGCTGCACACCGAATGTCGAAGCTGGCTGTCGAGCTTCGCCCGTCGCCCAAATTCGCGAAGAAAAATGCTGTCATCTGGTTGCCAACTTGGAAGCGTGAAAGCAGCGAGCTTGGAACTTTCTGTGCTGTGGGAGGAACTTTGTCATGTTTCTGGTTGAATGTCAAAGTAGAGGCTTTGCATTGAGTAGGAGAACTCGGATGAAACTGAGATTTCCAGACTTCACGCATGGATATGTTATTCTTAGATTTCGATATTGAGTTTCTCCCGAATGCGTAGCAAGGGTTCCCGTTTCACTCTGGGGGTCTGGGGGTTGAGGGTGTGTTCGCTCGACATTGCGCAACCAATTCGCAACCGTTCGCGGGCGATCACGTGAGCCGGGGTATGGCCGTGCCTATGGCGAGTTCTGCAACAGCGGTCACTTTTGGAGGTTTCCAATGCCGCCTAGCCTCGTTTCGCGTGGCAGGCGTGGCACTTTGTGACATTCCAACATGTTTCATAACGTGTCAAAAGAATTCAAAAGACGTTTTTTTTTGTGACAGGCAATGCATCGTCATTGGGGGAAGTTGCAAAACCTATCCTGTTTCACGGTGTCAAAGCGAGTTGTAATGTGCTTTTGCGTGGCAGGCGTGGCACTTCGGGACATTCTCATGTGTCTGCAAACGTGTCGAAAATCCTTTTGTATGGCAGGCACAATACTTTTGCGTCGTTTTCAGAAGATGAGTTGCAGTTTCGTGGCAGGTTGCAACACTTTGAGACATCCATCGTCATTTCGCGTGGCAGGCACAGCACTTTAGACGTGTCGTGTCGCGTGTGTTTCCGAATCGCATTTTCAGGGCTGCGTCAAGCGGCGACAAGGTGCAAAGTGCGTGGCGGGCGTGGCCTTTTGTGAGATGTGCTGAAAATTGACGGAAGCCTCGCACTAAACATCGGTTTTCAGGTAGCAAGTTGCGGTGTTCATCAAAAAACTCGTAGGAAAACGTCGATTTTGAAGGAACATGCAGGAACAAAGTGTGAAAATTGGAGGAAGTCTCGCACGAAATGCTCGTTTTGATGCTCCAACGTGTCTGGTCTCGAGTCTCTGGTTTCCTTCTGGCCTCGCCGTGTCTATGGGGGAAGTTGCAAAACCTATCCTGTTTCACGGTGTCAAAGCGAGTTGTAATGTGCTTTTGCGTGGCAGGCGTGGCACTTCGTGACATTCTCATGTGTCTGCAAACGTGTCGAAAATGCTTTTGTATGGCAGGCACAATACTTTTGCGTCGTTTTCAGAAGATGAGTTGCAGTTTCGTGGCAGGTTGCAACACTTTGAGACATCCATCGTCATTTCGCGTGGCAGGCGCAGCACTTCAGTCGTGTCGTGTTGCGTGCTCTACACTCCAGACTCCACACTTTACACTTTACACTTCAGACTTTACACTTTACACTCCACACTCTACACTCCACACACTACACTGCACACTCAGCACTCCCCACTTTACACACCACACTTTGCACTTCACACTCCCCACACTACACTTTACGCTCCACACTTTGCACTTCACACTCCACACTTTACACTCCACACTGCGCACTTCACACTTTACGCTCCGCACTTTACACTTTGCACTCCGCTACACTTTATACTCCACCACACTTTACACTTTACACTTTACGCTCTACACTCCACACTCCACACTTTACACTTTACTCATTATACTTTAACATCCACACTATACATTCCACCCTTTACACTCTACAGTTGACACTCAACACGCTACACTTTACACTCTACACTCCACACTCTACACAGGACACTCCCCACTGTACACTTTTCTCTCCACACTTTACACTCTGCACTTTACACTTGACACTCCACACTCTACACTTTACACTCAACCTGCACACTCCACACTTTACACTCCACACTTTCAATTTTACACTTTACACTCCGCACTCCACACTTTACACTCCACACTCTACACTCCACACTTCACACTTTACACTTTACACTCCACACTCTACACTCCCCACTCTACGCTCCACACTCTACACTCCACACTCTACACTTTACACTTCACACTCCGCATTCTACACTTTACACTCCGCACTCGACACTGCACACTCTACACTTTACACTCCACACTCCAGACTTTACACTCGACACTCTACACTTTACACTCCACACTCTACACTTTACACTCCGCACTCCACACTTTACACTTGACACTCTACACTTCACACTCCACACTTTTCACTTTACACACTCCACACCCTACACTCCACATTCCACACTTCACACTTTACGCTTTACTCTCCACACTCTACACTCCACACTCCTCACTTCACACTCCACACCCTACACTCCACATTCCACACTTTACACTTTACACTTTGCTCTCCACACTCTACACTTTACACTCCACACTTTGCATTCCACCCTCTTCCGCACTCCACAGTGTACAGTGCACGGGTGCGGTAACAGGGGAAGATGTACAAGACTGTTCATCACAAAAGTGTCCTACGTGACTGCATTCGGGTTCGTGGGTTGCATCTTGTTTTTGGGTGCGTGTGTTCTGTTTGCACTGTTCCAAAATGTATTACTATACTTAGCTGGTGCTATGTATGTTCACTGCAGCTGCCTTTCAAGCAACAACAAGGAGGCTTACACTGTGTTGGATGGGTAACAGCTTGCCTTCGTAACTGCACATGCGTTTATCCACCATGTCTTTTGTCTCTCTACTTGTAAATCCTCATGTGTTTACCCAAGATGCTGTGATGTTTCACTATTTCCGAACTACTTCTTGCTGCAAGGCCACTGCACAACCCAAGGAGAAGAAACAGAAGAAGGCAGTGATGCGGAGACATGTGGAAACACATCTGGAAACACGATTAGATCTGGATCCAAACTACTTAAACTATAATAGATAATATAATAGACCATACTTACTTCAAGAACAGTATATATTGGTGAAACGTGTCAAAAAACTAATCTTTTTTTGGCAACACGTTCCTTGCCTCACTGGAATGTTCCATTATTAAACCCGCTGAATATGTACTCAGCTCAGCAGCCTCTGACAAGTTTCCCCGTGGGGCCACAGGCCAGTTTTTTGTGCTGCGAGTGCCGGATCCAAACTGCGTTGCCCTTCAAGTTCTCGTTGATTGATTCACTTTGTGAACCAATCATTTGTTTTAGGTCGACAGTCAAAGACTTGACGTCTCACAGCCTCAATTTCAGAATAAAAGCTGGACATTTGAAATCGCTGCAGGGCAGTTGCGAGAAGGAGAGCAAGGCCTTTTCATGTTTTAATGGCAGCTCTCGTGGGCCACAGCTCCAATCCGCTTTCCTAGCAATGACCAGCTCTAAATAGATCCCACACTAACCAATAAGATCCTTTTAGGTGTGGGATCCTTTTAGATCCTTTTAGTGTTTCACACCTCAAAGTCACCGATGCTTCAGCGATATAAGAGGAACGACTCCGCCTCCAGCCATCCAGACAAGTGATGGTACAAGATGGTGTGAAACCATGGTGAAAGGATGTGAAAGGTACAAGACTGGTAAGAGGAGCTTTGGGGTTTCACTTGCGCACTGATTTGCTTCTGAAAGTCAGAAATTGATTGTAATCAGACAGGTTGTGGCATCATGGAATTTGGTGATGCTTAGCGGCTTAGCAATGCTTGCAGGCTGAAGTGCGGCAGCGAGCAAAACTGCCGGCTAAGGAGGCCCCATTTTTGGATGCCACAGGGCCTTTGGACTGTGTGGATCAAGACTATTCCAGTCAGATCATGCAGCGGAAGGTTCGTGAGACTGTAGAAGTTCTGTAGGTATTATAGTGTAGTACTGATATGATCTGTGATATGATTAAAGAAAACACATATAAAAACAATAATCGTTGATATTGGACATTGTGAAACCACGCTACTGCAACTAAATTTCTTTAATTCTTATAATTCTTTCTCGGCTTTGATGTAGTTGCCTTGGAGGCGGGTTTTCGCACCTGTCGACTGTAGACCTCCTGCATGGTCTGCCTTACCTTTCACCCAACAGGAGAAACGAAAAGATAAGAAGGAAAAGAAACGGAAGAAGGACTCTAGCAGAAGCTGACTGATTGATTTCCATTAATTGGATAAGGTGCAGCATGAAAACTTCACCTAATTCGGAGTTTCAATGAGTTTCAAGTAGAATCTTGAGATGCTTCAAGTGAGTCCGACGAGAAATGGTGACAGGACCATGCAGACTACCCGGAAGCCTATGGCATGATGGGGCAGGCGATGCTTGCGCCCATGATGGGTATGATGAGGCATGGGGAGAATTGTGGGGGTAGTTTGTGGCTGCGAAAGGTGATGCAGAATTGATTTGAATTGTCAGTTGCAGATCTTCCGAGCTTATTGCCGGCAAGATCGGCAAGGAAATCGTGTTTGCATCTCGTTATTTTGAAATGTGTCTTCATCTGTGCTTCTGTGTGTGTTACCTCAAATTACCTCAAGATGTTTACAGTTTTTTAGTTTTCTTTTCAGTTTTCTCCAGCCAACCAGTGGTCTCAAATGGTCTCAAGTAAATATTGGTTTTCGATTTGATCCATCGCGGAGCCTTGATGCAGGTCAATGAGCTATCCCATGATGCCAGGAACCTGGTGAAAGGAAACAGTCGTGTGCAGTACCGGTTACACCGCTTACACCTTTTACCGTCGAACCAAATTTCCTCAAAATATATAGAAATATATAGGACAGAGTCGACAGAGTTCAGAGATTCGTAGGATAGACAGAGAACTTGCCCGCTCAGCGCTTGACAGTTTCTTTGGACGTTTCCTTTCCTCAGTGTTGGAGTTGCACTATAGGCTCTATGAGAGTTACTCGATGTTACTCGTACCGACTCGTACCATTTGCAGAGTGTGCACACATGCCACATCATGCCAGCCACACTGCGACTTTGGTCCCATTTTTTGTTGCCAGTGAGGCCTGGCATGATGATGATGCCTGGTGGCATCATTGGAGCTCCTCTCATGGGCGGTGTATGGCACCTAGATGGGCCTGTGATGTCCAACATGTCGACTGCCTGTGAAGTATTGAAACTTTTTATCATAAAAGTTTGACAGAACAATTCTCAGGATGATTGGCACATATTGGCATAGGGATATCTGATGATATCTGGCAAATATCTGGGGCGACAGGATGTGCTTTTCTTTATGGCCTAGGTTGGGCACATGATGCCTGGAGCTCCAACCATGCCTTACCCCCTGCCAGGCGCTGTGCGATGCTGTGCGCTTTGTTTCAAATGGAGGTGTTCTGAAATATCAATGGGGATAGCCCCAAATCAATCCAAATCATCAATTTGTTTGGCGGATTGTTTCCATTAACCATCCATTAATGGGGTTACCCCCATTTATGGAGACCCCCATGACTTTGACAATCTTTGACACCTTGTGCTTGTTTCAGGTGTTCCCTTGGTCAGGAACTTAGTGATGGCCTCACATGAAGGGAATCGGAAACCACCTACGACCTCCCTGGTGCGGGCATCGGGGCACCACCAATGGGAAGAGATGAGTTCAACTTGTCCCAAGAAGTGCAAAGTCCAAAGTTAACTCGGGTACAGACCACACCTCATCCACACCCCACATCAACTACCTGATGGCGTACATTGCCAGGTTCACGCAACCTTTGAACTAAGCTGATGTCCATGCCATGTCCTATACTCTTGTAGCGTCCAGAGCAGGAAATACAATCTACAATCTGGCAGGAACTACAGTCAGGCATAGTCAGGCCTAAAACATCGTGAAACCTTAAAGCTCCTGCAGCTTTCTTCGATCCGTGGCGCCACAAGGTTCGGCCTCTTGCCAAAGCTCGGACAAAGGTGCAGCTACCGGAGATATCCAGAGATTGTCATCGACATTGACACTTTCACGGGGTTCCCCACTTTCAGGATGAGATTCAACCCCTTCCATTGATTTCCATTGTGTGAAGACAAAATCTGTTGTGGATTGCTGAATGTAGATCAGATCCAACACCGTGATTATTTGCATGTTTATGGCCACCTTCAAGGCTTGCTCTGATCCATTGTGACAATCAATGTTGTTTCTGTCAGGCTGAAGAGAAAAAGAGACGATTCACAGAGGCGTGTCTACTCATGGTTGCGAGTCTTTCAACTGCTAAATAGACCACCATTTGGAAACATAAATTGAAAACTGATAAGACTGCATAAAACTGCAAACTTCTGGACCGCAATGAGATCCTTCAAAGATTTGGCATCGGCTGTGGGCCTCTGTAAGCCTCTAGTGATTAGGCTCCTGCTCCCGCGCCCGAGCCCGAGCCAGCAGAAGCGGAACCCGTACCGGAGCCTGTTGAGGCTAGAGAAATGCCACAGGGATCGGGTGCACTTCCGCACTTGAAACTCATGTAGTCTGTGTGAAGCAGACGCGAAATCAGAGCTCGTTTGCAGTGGAACAAATCGTTCTGATTAATTAACCAATTGCATTTTATTGCTGGCCACTGACCACTCTATAGCTCGTCATTTTTTTCCAAAGCACCAACTGTACAAGACTCACTGCATTGTTGAGTTCTACATTGCTTCCATTTGCTTCCACTGTTTGGATCCTAGGCTGTGTAACGCTGCCCGTTCTTAGGCGTTTGCTCAGAGCCTGGCAGAAAATCAAACAAGGAAAGTTGCCAAACCACTAACCACCAACATGCACAAACCCTACCTGATGAGTTGATGATGGCTCATGCAAAAACTTGGGTCCAACCCCCAGATGCGCAAGAAATTCAGCCTGTCATTTTGATCTTGGATGGTTCTTTGGTTTCTTGCTCCATGGCGTGGTTGCATATAATAGTTTTTTGAGACCATATGAGACCTTTGTTTTGTTTTTTTCACATACACTGCACGTCCACATCCCTTCACTCTGTATGCTTTCGTTGCTGAAAACGCGGCAGATTCCCCATGATCTTTGCTGGTCGCGGGGCGGTACTCCGCTCAAGACTGTGGCCGGCACTGGGTGGCCGGCATTTCAGCGCAGCAAGAACTGCCAGCAGGTATGTTGCCAGAGGGACACTAGTTGGTTTGGTGGTGTCTTGGACTGCAGAAATTTTCACATGCAAACTATAAATAGAAAGCCAGTATCGAAACACTTTGAACCATTTACAAGCTTCGATGAGGTTGGATCTTCGACTTCCACCTGGTTCCTGTCACAGGCAGTCTGGGTAGCCTTGGATGATGCCGTTGGAAACAACAAGTCGCCCCTTGGTCAGGAGAGAGCAGTGAGGAGCATATGTTTATTGTTGTCATATTTCGATGCATTGTGGAACATAAAAATACAAGCATAAAAAACACAAACAAAAACTAAATTTGATTGACGTATATTTTATTTCCTCCATGTGTGCTCGATATTTGTTTCGTTTGTTTGTGTTTCCCCTTTGGCTTAGTCTTTTGTAGTTATTCCGATTCTATATAATTTGTTGTATTTCTGGTTGTTTGTTTTTCTTCGTGCATTTTATTTCATTGTGTTTTGCTTTTTTGGTTGGTGTATTTCTGTTTTTCTGCAATAATTGTTGTTTTGTTTTTTTTCTTCTGCCAAAGTTGCTTTATTTATTGCTTTTTCCAAATCATCACTTGTCCATTTCACTTTTCTTTCTTTTTTTCTTTGCAGGTCTACTTTTTTAACATTTGTTAACTGTTTTTTTTTGTAATTTTACCATTTTAGCATTTTCCAGTCGAAGCCTGTTGCTGCAGTACATAAGTTCATTGAATCATGAACACACGTTTACTTTTTCGTGATACATACGTAGTTTTATGATGTTTCATGTTTTGAAGCTTTCTCTTTGATTCAGATTCGAATTCGCGCTGAAACACATGTTGGGTTTTGTTGAACCGCTTCGTTTCCCAGCACATGTCCAAGACCCAGTTCATTTTTCAGGCGTGTGTAGCTGATGTATATTTGCTGTTTGTATAATATAAATAATATATTATGTATACTGTATATGTATCTTACATATATATATATATATACAATTATATAATATAATATACATATTATGTACATATATATATACATATATACATATATACATATCATTATCTATCATACTCAATGAACAAAGGAATATGGAGCGCTTTGGGCCAATATCAGAGGCATTCCTGTAGCCTCATGGACTTAGGACCTGGTATGAGTTCTACTGGCTATGCTGCAAAGACACTGCGCTATACTGCTGGATTGCAATGCAATTGCAGGCATGGGTTGATGGTGGTTGATGGTTGATGCTGTGCACTCACAGAAAAGTGAATGTGAAACACTCTGAGAAGTCAACACCGTAAAGGAGGGACCAGTCTACAAAAAAACTTCTGGGCATTGAAATTGTTCCCAAGGACAGAACGTACAAGTCCCAGTGCAAACTGTGCTTTCGAAATCACGTGTTTTTTTTTTTTCGCATGCATATTCAAGCATCATGCTCATATTTCCAGCTGATTTCGATGAATTTTTGAGATACCATAGAAACATACAGAAACTGCAAAAGGACATGAGGGGCATGTCCCATGTTGTTATGCTTCAACATGACTATGACTAGTGCTCTACTACCAGATCTACCGGATGGATCTAGTGCTTTCGGGTATGAAAGAGGGGTCCCCACCGGTGCGGAGGCCCGGCAAGCCTGGCTTCAGTTGAACGGCGAGTCCAGTGATCCGATGGAGACGCCAAGTCTCAGAGAACAACTGAAGGACAGAGCCAAGTCCATGACCTTCAGCTCAGAATGGCGAGCTGTTGGGGGATTTGTTGGAGGATTAGGTGCCAAACAGGACTGGTTACCTCAAAAGTGGAAAGCAAAGGGGGTTGCTCCAGCTGGCACCAGTTACTTGCACACAGCAAAACTGGGAAGCACAGGGGCTCCAATCCACAGTCAAGATCCTTTGAATAGGAGCAGAATGAGTGAATCCCAGGATCTTTAGATCGTCTCCGAAGTTCAAATGTTATGTTTATGAGCTATATACATTTATCTATTTTAAGGACTGCAACACTGCAACAAGCTGAGGCTCTTTCAGGACGTTTCGGCTGATGTCTCTGCATCCCTGCCACCTTCGGCCCCAGTCGAAGTGGACAAAGTAACTTCAGAGAAGTTGAAGGTCTGCTTGGGTCAGGGGTTTGTGGCATTTAATCAGAACTATATCAGAACTATGAAGCCACGTTGTGTTTCTCCATGTTTCTCCCATTAAATTCTTGGATGCAGCTGGCAGATGTCAAAGAATGCGAGGCTGTCGAGTCACAGCTTGAAACACTTCAAGCGGCATTGGAGTCCAAAGAGCAGGAGCCGAATAAGCGAAGAAGAAAAGAAGAAAAGAAGTGCGTAATCACTTTGTAAAATGGATTTGCAGATACGGTGTATGGTTCAAAGGACGAAGCTTTAAACCTAGTGAGCAAATAGTGTTGAGGTAAGTTGAGGTTATGTTTGGTCCAGGTTAAGGACAATCGCCAGATGGAATGGATAGGACACTATAGGATTTGTCGATATTGTAGAGAGTTTTCGACATTGTTTCAAATGTTCGACGTGTGTTCGATAAATCTGCATTAATTTTATTATAAGGACCAGTGTGCACTGATTTTCAGATTCATCTGATTTCGTAAAATTTCGTAACATTGCATACGGATGTCTTGATGTTTCCAATGTTTTTTCCTCGACAGGAGCTTTCAGCGGCGAAAGCTGAGGATGCAGCAGCATCACAGGCAAGGCCCAAATGGTCAGTCATGGGCGGATGCATTACATATCATGTATTATCATGTATGAATACTGTCGTCATATGTCATGATAATTATTGTATAATTTTGAGTGACTATATATATAATTATATATATATAATATTATACACTCTTGTCGTTTGACGTATTATATTGTCTTATAGATGATGATGTGCTACAGTAGAAGATTCAATTTTGAGCCACTTTTTTTTGACACTGCAGGCTTCAAGCCAAGAACAGATTGATGAATTGCAAAAGGAAGTCTCCATACGACGGAAGATGTTGGAGGAGATTTCTGCAGCCAAGAACCTTTGTATCTCCTGGAAAAGCAAAATTAATTTGGAGTTCTGTCATTTCTGAAATGTCTTGAAGTGTCTTAAACTTAGGTCTAGAAGATGAGTTTCACGGAACACTTAAATGTTCCAGAACGATGTTGCGATGTTTGCATATATTTACTGTATAATTATTTAATATTATTTATATCTATTTGGTTATATCTATTTTGTTATTGATACCCTGCGACTGTAGGAGCTGCGAGGTCATCAGATTAAGCTCTTGGAAGAGGTGAAGGAACTAAAGGAGAAACTGGCACAGCAGGAGCTGGATCTTCAACGCAGCAAGGAGGTGGAAAGACAAAGATCTCGGGAACTCTTGAAAGTTCAGGAAGACCTGGAGCAATCACGACTCCAACTTGCAGTGTTGGCACGTTTTCTAATTTAATCCAGCTTAGTGATTCGGTCACGTTTCCTCAAATTCACCGGCAATCTGGTTTAGTCATGGTGAAGCAAAGGAAAATTGAACAGATTCCCCGTCAAGACAGATTTGTAGGTAGTGTTTACATATTACACTTGCACCTGCACTTGGCGCTACGTTCACACCAAAGCAAACTAAATCTTCCCTGTAATACAGCTATCTTCCCTGGCGCATTGCACCATATCACGTTCGTTGCCAGAATTTTGAAGCTTTGTTCGTCTCATGAGGCCATTTGCCGCCAAATTTGCGTCCCTATCTTGGTTCACATTCCAAGGACAAGCCTTGACTGGCATGCGAACGAAGCTGGAGAAAGCAGATGCGGACCTGGAGAAAAACAGGGCCAAAGAGTCGCAGAAGGAACGCGAGATTCACCAGTTGGAGACACTCGGTGGGAGATCACCGAAGTGTCGCTTGAGTTCAAGTGGTGATCTCGTGTGGATCTATATGATTTATATTGATTTATACTATTCTATACTGTCTATACTATTCTATGTATGTCGCTGTCTATTTGTACCATGTGCAACATTGTGCAACTCTGCCAACACAAAGGGCATAGATTCAACAGTAGTGGTCCTTACTTGTAGCATGTGGATGCAAAAGGTGGTCGAATATGTCAATGGATAGTTGGAGCCATAGAGACAAGGGCTTCCAATCAATCCCTGATCGCTGTTTCTACAGGTGATTGTTGATGAACTGTACATAATGGCCATACAAGGTTTTTAGATGCAGGAAGACTTAAGGGGATCAGCTCTTTCAATCAGTGTCAAGATGTGCCAAGGAAGACTGTCCACCAGCACAAGGTGGAGATACATACCTTGAAAGATAAAGAGGCAGCTAAGGCTGAAGAAGTCAGCAAGATGAAGAAAGAGGAGACACTTGGACCATCTTGGACCACTGATTTTAGTGTCAGATGTCGTTCATTGTCAGCACCAGCATATACCAACATGGTCTTCCTGTCCAGGCTTGTGCTTGATAACATAAGCATTACATAAGCCAGTTTGTTTCTTCTGGGCGCCGGAAGGTGCTTGGCCTTTGGGACATGTTGGGACTTTAGATGGACTTTAGGCTATTTTTGGCTGGCTCATGCTAACTGAAGCTTTCAGCAAAAGATGACGTGACTGTCTTTGTTTGTTGTTTGGCGTGAACACCTCATTAGATCTCATTGGTGTTCTCCACGACAGAAATGAGACACAGTGAGGCTCTTGTTCAAACAAAAATATCACTGGTTAGCTGGCTGAGGATTTTGAAGATGAAGGAGATTGACACTTTACAGTGCCCTGACGAACGGTCGATTTCATTTTAGTTTGCCGTTTTGTGTGTGTAGGCGGCGGGTTGTGATTTGCAAGTATTACCGTTTGCTTTCAATGCCAGCATCTTATTTTCATTTGCAAGGCTCCCCTGTTTTGCATGATCAAATTGATCAAAGACCAAGCAACAAAATATATTCGCAAGTGCTTGCCGAGCGATGGTCGTGGGGTCATGCTGCTTCAGGCGGCAGATCCGAGAGAAAGCCTCGTTGACTTCTGATTTGACTACGAAAGTGGCGAAACAGACCAAGGAGCGCTTACTTGTAGCTTCAGATTGCCGAACACAGGACTAAGATCATAGATTTGTATGATTTGTCTTGAACTGGAGATACGAAGTAGTCAAGTAGTAGCATTAGTTCACTGTTCTGCCAATCTGTTTTTCCAGATTTGTCTTTGTTTGCATCATTGCGATCCAAACTAGGGCAATAGTATGGCTCTGGGGCTTGGAAGGTATCATCATGGTTTTGTCATTTTTGATGCAATGTTTTATGGTAGCGGTGTTTGTTGTTTCGCTAGTTGTCATTCAGTTTGATGTTTTGACACTGAGTGTGATCAATGTGTGTTAGAACTTTTGGTGCCTCGCAGTTAACAAGGAACTGGTGGATCTGAAGGCGTCACTTGATGAGCATGTGTACCTGGTCGCTGAGTGGGAAGGAAAAAACACTTGGAGGAAAACATAATGCAGAGAGTGCAGTTCAATGTGTGGATGGCACAGTAGATGCAGAAACAATCAGAAAGAATGTCAGAAAATGTCAGAATGACAATCATTTTCATGCCAGTACTGTAGCATGATAATAATATGTGTTCATCAGTCCCAGAATTGGACCAAGGGCAGAAATGCAGGAAAACACTGTTTTTACTGCAATGGTTTCAATGTTCCCGTGAAACGATTCAATGAATCAGTGGAATTTGGAACCAAATTGATCATGTTACCTTGGCCATACCCCCAGGCAACGAGCGTCTTCAGCAGCTGAAGATCTTGTCACTGCCAGGCCAGGAATTCTGGGGTCGGATGTTGGGCAGACATGGTATGTTTGATCTCCATGCAGATTATCCCATCAGTGGAGCAATTTCAATCTTCAAACAAGCTGTTCCTTCTTTTACCTGCAATTCCTACAAGTTTCCACGCAGGAAGACACTTGAAGACAAGGAGGCCGAAGTGAGCACCTTAGGACCGCATATGCAGAGTTGAGTACATGATGGTGGCTATGCTAACATGAAAGTGATTTCTGGCTGATTCTTGATAGTCAGAGTATTAATGCTTGCATTCACATAATGTTTTGACCATTTGCGTGAAAAAGTAGAGGGTGGAAAGATGGATACTCCAACCTTTCGTTGCATCTCAATCCAGCAAAATGCCCTGGGATTCATCAAATAATCGCAAACAATCGCAAATAATCTCTCAAATTTAAGTGTTTTCGTCATCCACACAGCATCCACAGCATTCCACAGCATGCGGTGAGCTGGATCCAGCGCCCAGGAGCTCAGTGTGTCGAGTTGGAAGCTGCCAAAGCTCAGCAGCTGCAACAGATCTCGGAGCTCCAAAGTGCTGCGGCGCAGCAGCAGCTTGAGGGCGAGAAGCTGCAAGGCGCCAACTGCGCCAACTGCGCCAACTGCCAAGTCGTTGCAACCATATGATTTAGCTTATATATGCTTAATTATATAATATAAGTTTTGAGAAACAATATCATGTGAACCATGACAGTAGGAATTCAGGCTTGGAGTTTGGACTGGTGTTATCTATTGACTGGATATGACATGATGGATTACTGCGAATGATCATGTTGACATGCAGTCTGCTGCATTATCTGTTACTGGTCACTCAATTACTTGCCAGGACAAGTGTTGCTTCTTGAAGCAGAAGATGATATGAAATCCAAGCGAATCTCAGAGATCCAGGATGTTCTTGCAGAAAAGATGCAGGACCTGCCGTTGCTGGCAGATAGTGCTGTGTTGGTAACCCTGGTAGCTGCCGCGGAGCTGATGCCGCAGGATCTGGATGTTTTGAAGATGGAACTGAGGCAAAAAGAGGCCGAGTTTGCGGTGGATGGACTTTGTATCATAATGGTGGTTTCCGGGGAGAGAGGTTTGGTCTATGGTGTATCAATTTCAGGTGGTTTCTTGGAAATTGATCAGAGCTCAAAAAGTGTGGGAGGGAAGCAGAGAATCTAAACTGACCAGCTAAAAAGATCTGGTACCAAAGGAGCTATTTCAAAGTTGGTTGTCAAGCTTTCGTCCAAGCGCAATGTGCACTTCAGAACGCCCTGTGTGGATGAAGAGATGTTTCGTATTGTTTCGTCCGGGCACGAGGAGGAGTTAGAAGATCTTCAGCAACAAATGAGCATCTCGACTTGCAGTTTGAACAGGTTGGCAGAAAGTTGTTTTCATTTTTTTCAAAACGCAAGGCGCCTCATCATTTTTCCAGAAAGAAACATTGAACGATCTTTGGACGCTATCATGTCACGATCGTCATTCGGACATTCGTATGTACGTTGTTTTTCATTGTTTTTCTAGCAGCGCTGGCTATTGCTATGATGGATACACCCCTTGAACACCTCCGCACGAAGCGGCAACAGGTAGACTTCGGCAGATCGACGCTCAAAAGATTCAGCAGCTAGAGGAGCTGCAGATGCTCGGATGCAAACAACAAATGGCAATGCATTGTGTGTGGTCGGGACAGATATGGTAGAGTTGATGCATGGGAGAGTCGAATCTGCAGCTCTCCAAGGTTAAATGACCTTTGAAATCTGGAAACATCACATTTGTTTTGGGGTCTTGAACCCATGTAATGCTGGGAATTGAGCTGAGTTTAGGCTTGCCATTAACCTGTCCAGTCCAATCTCCACATCTTAGTGTGCCTGCTGAATAGTCAAGCAATGTTTCCGTTGGTGATTGTTTGCATCGAACGATACAGATCAATTGCAATTGAGTTCCCATGGAGAGGAGCGGATCTCAATCTATGGTCATTGCCTGTTGCCTGTTCCATGTCCACGCCGTGAATTTTCAATTGTTTCAATGTTAGAAACAATGGAATGCCTGCATTGACTACATCTTTGTTTACTGAGATTTAAATATGTGAATGTGTGTGGTTTCGCATGTTTAAGGTCAAATTCACAGAAACAGTGTTTTACAAAAGGACCTGACAGCTTCCAGGTAGTCTGTGTTGTATAGTCTCGGTCTCAGGAAATGGAAGAGAGAATGTGAGGAAACCAAACAAAGACTTTTGAGTGGCAAGCTGTCAAAAGTGAAGCTGGATTTGTAGATGGTGCATCGGAAAGTCATGAGACTCTCCCTGGTGAACCTTCTGTGAACCTTCAGTGAACGTTCGGTGAACCTTCGGTGAACCTTGCGTTGGTTCAATCGCCGGAGAATGAGCATTGCCCGGTATCTTTTTGGAGACCCATCCTGACCCAACGAGGAAAGGCTGCTGGCATTTTTGCCTCTAGCCTTTTTCTGTACAAGAAACTGAGCAGTGATGAGCAGTGCTTCAAGAATTTGTAGCAATGTGATTGTCTTTTGCTTTCCTTTCCGACAGGATCGGCTCAAGATGGTTCGATATAAGTTTGCTCCAAAAGCTGAGTGGAAAAAGCGTGTGAAAAATTCTGTGCGCGAGTGTACAGTTTGGCTGTCAGGCAGTTTGATTCAGCGTCATACTTCATAGATGATGTTGAGTTCCCAGTTGCTTTCATTCCACTGAACAAGTACTCATGCAATTCATTCCAGTTCCATCCTTAGCATTCTGAACCACGAGTGGTTCACTTCCAGCATCCTGCTGTCCGCACGTCACAAGTTTCCTTCTACTTTCCCAGCGACTTGGCTTATCATTTGCCAGGAACCTGAAAAGCGGAGTGCTTCAGTGTCCTCGCACTGCACTCAGCCACAAACTTTGAAACTTTGGGCCAGAGAGTGAAAGGATCTCAAGAATCATCAGAATTGTTGGAAGATCACAGTGATATGGCAGATATGGCAGTGATTTGAGATTCGAAATATGATTCCATATACATTCTATATATATTCCATATGATTCGATGTCAAAAATGAGGGAACAAGACTTGTGGGGGTGAACTCGTAATGTTTGAACCCAAGAATGGAGTGCCCAAGCTGGAGAAAGCTGGCTGTCAAGGTCATCTTCGTCATCGACTTCAGAAGCCAAGAACGAAGGTGCTGCGATGTGCTGCGGGATCTGCGGGAACGCCCCAGCTGCAGTCTCTACTTCAGCTATAGAAGTACAGTCAGAATGTCGAATGACAGATTCACGTGACTTTCCGCACTCTCACTTCTACATACTTCAATGAGCAGAAGCTTCAGGAGTATAAATCGCGGAAGTAAGCGAAGGTCGCCAATCTGGACGATACCTAAAGATACCTTAAGCACGATTATCTTGTTTGCCATCTTTCCCAAGGCCCACAGACTCATAGTCAAATTATGATATTACAGTGAAAGACAAGAGGAGCTAACAAATCCTTTGCATCATGTCCGACAACAACGCTGACAACTGAGAATTCCATAGACAATTCCGTTTGTTCTTTCAAAACATGAGAAAACTGAACATGGTGTCCTCACTGGACCGATGAACCAAGATCAAACAGAGTCCTTTTGGCGTCACACCTCTTTAGCATGCGTGCTTCCTGCGGCACGAAAAAGCAAGACTCAGAAGGATGAATCATGATTCAAATGATTCAACGATATTCCAAGCACTTCACCACCCCTCGTTTTACATCAGAGAAATTGCATCCGAAACTCGTCGAGCCTCATGGACAAGTCTCTGGCGCTGCAATTGGCCAAGAGATGTTTGCCACACTTCGAGAGCAAAGGTTGGGGTCACCATGGGTCGCCCGATGTGGAATGCATAGGACTGGGGTTAACCCCCAATTTGAAAGTTGCTTCAAATATATTTACCCTTTATTTACCACAACAAGAGCCAAGAATCATCTTATCCATATCAAACACCGCTCATCTATAACTCTATTTGCATGCATGATGCAGCGTCAGGAGCTTTCTCACTGTTTATAGTGACGGACAATCACTTAGAACGTATTTTGGATTTTTTTTTCTGAATATTTCACGCTTTTTGGACGTTCTAAGTGATTATTCGTCTACGTTCTAAGTACCCCAGTTAGAACGTTCAAATATCAAGATTCATCACTTAGAACGTACCGGGGAATTTAACACTTAGAACGTGTCTAGGTCAATGATGATAGTGGAAAGGATTGTGAAATCTTTTATCTCTAAGTGTTGGATTCAGCAGCTAATTCCGTAGGAAACATAGACATAATTTCGTACCCTTTGGCTTTTCCCTCCCATATGATTTGCAAAAATTGGCGATCTTTTATCTCTGGAACACTATACCTTTTGGATCCTTTTGGTGCTTTTTGGGGGTTCTGACGTTCTAAGTGTTGGATTCAGCAGCTAATTCCGTAGGAAACATAGACATAATTTCGTACCATTTAGCTTTTCCCTCCAATATGATTTGCAAACATTGGCGATCTTTTATCTCTGGAACACTACCTTTTGGATCCTTTTGGTGCTTTTTGGGGGTTCTGACGTTCTAAGTGTTGGATTCAGCAGCTAATTCTGTATAGGAAACATAGACATAATTTCGTACCATTTGGCTTTTCCCTCACAAATGATTTGCAAACATTGGCGATCTTTTATTTCTGGAACACTATACTTTTGGGTGCTTTTTGGGGGTTCTGACGTTCTAAGTGTTGGATTCAGCAGCTAGTTCCGTAGGAAACATAGACATAATTTCGTACCATTTAGCTTTTCCCTCCAATATGATTTGCAAACATTGGCGATCTTTTATCTCTGGAACACTACCTTTTGGATCCTTTTGGTGCTTTTTGGGGGTTCTGACGTTCTAAGTGTTGGATTCAGCAGCTAATTCTGTATAGGAAACATAGACATAATTTCGTACCATTTGGCTTTTCCCTCCCATATGATTTGCCAATCTTGGCTGTCTTTACTTCTGGAACACTATACTTTTGGGTGCTTTTTTTGCGGGTTCTGACGTTCTAAGTGTTGGATTCAGCAGCTAATTCTGTATAGGAAACATAGGCATAATTTCGTACCATTTGGCTTTTCCCTCACAAATGATTTGCAAACATTGGCGATCTTTTATTTCTGGAACACTATACTTTTGGTGCTTTTTGGGGGTTCTGACGTTCTAAGTGTTGGATTCAGCAGCTAATTCCGTATAGGAAACATAGACATAATTTCGTACCATTTGGCTTTTCCCTCCCATATGATTTGCAAATCTTGGCGGTCTTTACTTCTGGAACACTATACTTTTTGGTGCTTTTTGGGGTTCTGACGTTCTAAGTGTTGGATTCAGAAGCTAATTCCGTAGGAAACATAGACATAATTTCGTACCATTTGGCTTTTCCCTCACAATGATTTGCAAACATTGGCGATCTTTTATCTCTGGAACACTATACCTTTTGGTGCTTTTTGGGGGTTCTGAGTTCTGATGTTCGAAGTGTTGGATTCAGCAGCTAGTTCCGTAGGAAACATAGACATAATTTCGTACCATTTGGCTTTTCCCTCCCATATGATTTGCCAATCTTGGCGGTCTTTACCTCTGGAACACTATACCTTTTGGTGCTTTTTTGAGGGTTCTGACGTTCTAAGTGTTGGATTCAGCAGCTAATTCCGTAGGAAACATAGACATAATTTCGTACCATTTAGCTTTTCCCTTCTATATGATTTGCAAACATTGGCGACTTTTATCTCTGGAACACTATACCTTTTGGATCCTTTTGGTGCTTTTTGGGGTTCTGACGTTCTAAGTGTTGGATTCAGCAGCTAATTCCGTATAGGAAACATAGACATAATTTCGTACCATTTGGCTTTTCCCTCCCATATGATTTGCAAATCTTGGCGATCTTTTATCTTTGGAACACTATACCTTTTGGATCCTTTTGGTGCTTTTTGGGGGTTCTGACGTTCTAAGTGTTGCATTCAGCAGCTAATTCCGTAGGAAACATAGGCATAATTTCGTACCATTTGGCTTTTCCCTCACAAATGATTTGCAAACATTATGTTACATTCAAGGTATTTGAGCCCAATTTTGAGGTATTTGAGGTGACCAGTTCAAGATCTTCAGGGATTATTTCTTCCCACTTTACAATTTCATTTGATTAAGGAATTATCCCACTTTCAGGGATATTTTCCCCAACATATCCCCGTTTCAGCAGCTGCTGCCGCATCAGCGGCTGCTGCCGCCACATCAGCGGCTGCTGCCGCGGCTTCAACTTCAGGCCTGCCCCGCAACGCCCGGGGAAGGAGCATTGGCAGGATAGATAAGTATTAAATATAGATATATTATACTATAAGTTAATTATATATATATAAATACATTATGTATCATGTATTTGCATGTATATATATGATATATTTATGTTAATGTATAAACACATATTCATCTGTATATATTATATTCAACGTATTGATATATTAGATAATATCATGTATGTAATAGTATTATAAACTTAAACGTATATTGGAACTATATGTTAATATAAAATAAGTAGACATTTTGTTGATAGAACCTTTAAACACTGAATCCTCACAGTCACTAGTGCAAAGCAAATTATTGCATCCAAAGCTATTTGGGCTCCACCCTGCTTTTCTGGGGGTGGCCAGTTGAAGTGTAGAAGGCTTTTGGGCCATGGTTCAAAACTTGGCTCAATTGTTGGCAGCCCGCAACGCAGCGAAGGCAAGCAACAATAGCTCTGCTCAGCCTGCAGCTAGCAGCAGCTCAGCTAGGTCTCAGCCTGCAGCTAGCAGCAACTCAGCTAGGTCTCAGCCTGCAGTAGCACCAGCAGCAGCAGCTAGCAGTGCACCACCAGCAGCATCAGCAGCAGGTAGCGGTGCATCAGCAGCAGCCGCCCCCAACTCCAAGTTGCATCGGATTTATGGGAGGTCGAGGGCATCACCCAAGTCGAAACCGAAGGCCAAACCAAACGCAGAGCCCAAAGCAGAGACAGATCCTAAACCACGAAAGAGACCCGCAAGCCGAGCAACAGTTTTGAAGAGGCCAAGCACCAAGAGGCTCAAGACCCCAGAGAATGTGGATGGTGATGAAAAAAGCAATGATGCCTTAGATCCAAATGATTCTTACTCTGATGACGTTTCTGTGTATCTTGGCAAAACACGTTTCTGTTTGGAAAACGAGTGTTTTCAAATGTTCTAGGCCTCACGTCAATGGTTTCCCCATGTTCCCCCTCGCTGTTCCCCCTTGCTGAGGGAATCTTTTCCGCTTCCCGAGTCACTTCAAGACTTGGAGACTCTTGCTCCAAGATTTGCCCAGATTTTCTTTGTTTCAACCGTCTAGTTGTTGGCTTGGCAACCAAGTTTTTCTTGATTTCGGAACATGTTGTCTAATTTGATCTTATTCCCAGCCTCTTAACCCTGTGTTGCGGTGAAAGGAATTGGCCAAAGGTTCTTCTCCAGCGGTGTGCGGCTTGGTTTGGAGAGGACTTTCTAAAGCATCAGCTCACCCGCCCTCAGAATGTGTGCACGTTGTTTTCGGGGGTTGAGTGTCCACGCCAAGCTTGGAGTCTCATAAGCGAAGCTGCGTGGGAGCTCTGGTCTGTGGAGACGGGCTTACGTTTCGTATGTGCTGTTCTTCAGCTAAGCAGTAATTTCAACTTGTTTTCCCTTTTTTGTTTGGTATTTCTATGATTATTCACTTAAATTCTCATCATGATTTTGGTTCGGGTTTTAATGTTTTCACTTTGGGGTTCCTAAACATTGTTCATTCTTGCATTGCCAAAGTTATATTCCCCCCAGTTAGGTGGAGAACGACAAGAACTGCCAGCAGTGGATCCGGTCCCTGTATCCCAACGACTGCTTGTTCGGCAACATATTTCACCTGATGGTCAATGGGGACAACATCCCGAAAGACAAACCCTTGGACCCAAAGAAGATTCGCTTTAAGTCCACATGCCATTGCTTGACCCACAAGAAGGAATGCCCATTGCCAGACTTTGAAGATTTGCTTGCTGTCTTGGGGGCGCCATGTGTGTTGTTCAGCCGGTTTCTTGACATTTAATTTGCACACTTGGTTTATACCCCACAAGGTTCTGACTCCCCTTGATCGAAAAGAACACGCATTTCCTGCTTATCATCCGAGGCTGGGTGCCCGCCAGGGGTTCAAGGACATTCATCGTGCTCAAGTGCACCAAGTGGCAACAGCATTTATGAACAAGTCTTCAGGTAGCGTTCATGAGAACGTGCAGGGTTACGATGATGCCCCCCTACGCAAAGACTGCAAGCATCAGATCGACATGGCTAAGACACTTCTCTTTGCTGAGAAACATATCCCATGTTTTCTGTCTTTAAATGGGCTAACAAAAATTAGTAATTAGTCATGTTGGCATGCTTTCTTCTCCGCGCCTTGCTGACTTGCCGAGGCTGTCTCCATCGCAGTTTGGCTCACCATCCTCGAGGCCCCGGCAGTACCGTCTTACGTGGTGTGACCAGAAAAGAGCTTGGAACCATGACCCTTGTTCCTGTTCAAGTGTTTGTTTTATGCCTTTGATTTGTTGAACCCCCTGTTCAACTGTTTCCTACTAAGTCTTACGCTCCCTCTTAACCAGTATTACAGTGCCCAAGCTGGAGCTTAGGCCAAGAATTTCCAAGAGATCACTGATGCAATCCTTGCTCCGCACAATTCAATTTCCAAGATGACGCCGGAAATCTTTGCAATCGATGAATCTCCCCCGGAGGAAGTTTTTGAGAAGGGACTTCCTCAGCATTTTGGCTTTCATTTGGTCAAAGCAGGATATTTGTTTGAAGGGTTCTGCGTTCATGTTGGTGATTAGGAAAAATATTGGGAGGATCATCCCGCTTAGTAGGTGGTTAGCAACTGGGGCCATAACCTGTCTATCAAGGGGGGCAGTCCACTTAGGACAATTATACAAACGATGGTGAACAATCTATAAAATTCTTACTAAGTCAGATTACCCTCGAAATAGGGTGTTTTGATTTAAAGCTATTGCCCACCCGCAGGAACAATAAAGCTGCTCCTGCCATCTCAGGTCTATGGTCATCAGCTTGGCCAAGTACCGCATGGCTTTCCCCAACAAAAAGATGTTTGACCTGAGCCAGTCAATCGAAAGAGCTCGGACGGATCTCAAGCATGGGGACATGTTGTGCCTTGCAACCAGTTCAACACGCCTATGGTCAGAGTCCCTGGGTCGCTGTCTGAGTGGAAAGGAAAAATTGAAATCACTCTTGTACCCAATCGAGAAATTGGATGACACGTCCAATGAATTTCCAGAGCGGGTCTTGACAAAATTTGCCGGAAATGGCATGTTCCTACCAAATGTAGGATGGGCAATGCTTTGCCATGTCCTAAATGTCCTTCCTCTAGAGCAGTGACTGTGTTCCAGCTTCTTGGGGCGTCAAAAAGAACCTGTGTGGAACAGAACTTTGATGATCCCAACATTCTTTTTTACCATCATCGTACTGCTGACCATGATTAGCTCCGTCATCAATATGTTTTGGTCCCAGCTTGATGATCCCCATTTGTTATGACCCAATATGCGGCGCCTGCTCCATCTCCTCGTGGCAGGCTGCCAAATCCAGCCCGCTGCCTGGCAAAGTACGGGCACCAAGTTGAAGGTTTGAAACTTCAGGGTAGTATGGTGGCCATGTGTGTTTGCAGGTCTTCACGCATGCACTTCTGAAGCCATTTGGCAAATTTCGCAAAACATACCGCAAAGCTAATCGATGATAATATTTTTGATTCCATCTTCAGTTACGACCAAGATGAAAAAATGATCGAAGGATTTAAACCGCGTAAACATTTACAGGAATGTCATATTGCTGGTGAATTTCATATTGCTGACAATTTTTATTCTGTTGACCTTCGGTCTTACCGGCTATGGAGCATGGCACGGTAGATGAAACTATTTGGACCAGAGGGCCCAGAGCGCAGCCGCCCTGATCCAAAGAAGGCTGCTAAGAGACCATTCCAAGTAGAACCAGAAGAAGCAGGCCAGCTGGAACCCCTATAACCCTTCAAGTGTAATGTTTTTCCCAACTGCTGCCGTTTGACTTTTTTGGAGAGGAAATTGCTAGCATGTCCAGCCCTGAGGGACACAGCCAAAGAGGAGACCCAAAAAACCAACCGTTTTTCATCGAGAACCTGAAGAAGATCGAAAAAACATATCCGGGATTGAGTCAGGGAGAGAAGTGGGCACCCTTTTTGGCAATGAACCTGAAGAGCCTTCGCATTCTCATTCATCATCGTCGGAATCAGAACCCGACAAGTCTTCTGTTTTCAATTTGGGGTGGCAACAGTTGAACATGGCTGGGAAAGCCAACTTTGCCCGGAATGCTGCTGAAGAGGGAAAGTTGCCCCGAAAAAAACGGCCATATGACAATCAGAAACGTGCTGCCCAGGCTGCTTATACACGAAAGAGTGGGCAGTTCAAGGAAAATGGGACTTCCCAGAAACGTGTGCTGGATGTAGTCTCCAGGGATATTTGTTTATGTAACTGGGTGTGAATTTATTTATTTTTTTTCTTTGCAGCAACCAATTATTTTGTTTTGTCCAGCTGCAACTATATGAACACGATATCAAAATCTTGACCTACATCCTGAACTCCGCCAGGTGCTCGACAGAAGTGCTTCTGCCAGTACCAGGTCAAAGAGCTCCATGCTTTTTTGGGGGAATTCTGGTCCCTTCGGAAGCAGGATCAAGATAGCCTTGATTCTTTGATCAATTAGTTCCTTTTTTTGTTGGCATTACATATTGGGTACCTGAAGGTGATACAGTAGCAGGAATGTTTTTTTCTTCGGGAAATGACAAATAAGTTGACCACTGCAATGGATGGAACTGGGGCGGTGGAGAGCATGAACTTCTTGGGCCAAACAGTCGGCTACACCTGCTTGGCTACAATATTAGGGATTGGGAAATCACGCTTAAAGAAGGCGATGAATAGTGTTCCAGATCTACGCTTTGGAAAACAGAAAAACATTTCCCGCAAAGACACATGGAGCGTGGATTCTTTTCTGAGTCTTCAATACCAGAATGTAGCTGAAACGTTACCCGACAGGTGCGCAGTCAAAAAACATCATGATCATCATGATGATGTTGATGTCGGTGCAAGTTTTTTTCAAACAAATGAATTTTGAATTCCTTTATTGTACCGAGCGCGTTTCCCTACTAGGTTTGTCCGCAGAGGGCGTGCTGCCAAGAAGGATGATCCAGAATTTGATATCGTAAGCGGTGTCGAGGATTCAGAACTGGTTTCGTGGTTGGAGAAGCCCGGTTTGGGTCCAGCACTACAACTGATTCAACAGCCAACTGACAAAAAGAAAATGACTAAATACCTACCCCCAGGCAGTATCTCTGACTTGTTCGAGCACTATCAATCTGCTCGCAAGCTGGTTGGTGCCAAGAGTGTCTCGTGCCCAGACCTGGATTAAAGTCACGCTGTCCTCATGGTCAATATATAGTTTGGGATATGAGCCAAAACAAAAAGAAGTAGAGTCCTCATGTTCCTTTACTTCCCAGACACAATCCCAGGTATGCCACCTTTTTGCGGGTCTTTAAAGATCGCTGGCAAGACGTCTTAAAGTTCAGGGAGAAGAATTTGCATCTTGATATAGTATTGCAAGTGGATTTTAAGATTGTTCTTTGAAACCCCGGCAATACATCAATGAGCTCGATTCACATCTTAGTGGATTTGATATGAATTCATGCCAGTCATCCCAAGGTTTTCAAGGTGTGAGTTCTGCTACCACCAGACCCAGCAAATTTCAGACCGCTCCGCCTCTCTGGAGGAAAAGCTGTGCGCCGTCAAGGTGTACAGAGAGCACCTGCATTCACAGTATTGTGACAGGACTGTGCAATGGTCGTTGGAGGAGGCACCAAGGGACCCGTCCAGTGGGATCCTTACGATCCTGCTGGACGGGATGGATCAAGCTAAATTTAGATTGCCACGGCATCCAGGGCATAGGGCGGTGTCATCAATGATACTTCATTTCAAATTAGAAAAGCTTTTGGCTTTTGAACAAGTTTTCATGTGATCCAAGCATGTGACCCCAAGAAGTTGACATTTAACCTTCTGCGGGTTCCAAAAAACAATCCAAGGGCCAATGTCATACGACCATCCCTGAAGATCCACGGAGCGTGGGCAGTGGGTTCCTTGGTCTGTCACATTTTTCGTTTCAGCCGCATATTTTTCAACGGCGTTACCACTGAATCTGTCAAGGTAAAATGTCAAAGTTCATTTTTCTGTTCAAGGGAAAAATATATCACATGGGAAGGTTGGGTTCTTAACCTCTTCGTCTTGGATGACACTTTGAAACACGATGCCTCGTGTATCTGTGAGTGCGTGGCGTTGACATTGGAAGAGGTGGTCCAAATTGCCCAAGAACGACAAGTTGCAGTTCCCCACACGGTCATAATTATGTCTGACAATTGTGTCAGGGAGTGCAAAAACCAGTACTTCCTGTTGTATTTGGCAAATCTCTGTGCCAAATATAAAGTCAGGGTCTCCGGTCTCCTCAACTTGAGGAAAGCACATTCCCACTCTGCAATTGACCAATTGTGGGGATTGATCGCCCGAAGAATTGCAAGTTGTGACAAACTCTATTCGCCTGCTAGTGTCATCACGACCATCACCCAGGAGTTGAACCGACCCAGCCTCCGCAGCTGGATAGGAATGAACTCCAAGATCAACTGCCAAAAGCTTGATGCCGTGCGAACCTGGCGAGATCAATTTCAACAAGCTCAGCGGGTGGGATACAGTGGAGGGCTTCTAGAAGATGATACAGCAAATCATTGCTATTTGATGATGTTGCGCAGAGGCCATGTCAATGTTTCCTATTTTATTACCGGGCCATCATGGTGGTCTGTAAGTCCTTCCAGCCATTAATTTTAAACCAAATATTAACTATGACTATTATGTTCTTACCCTTGGGGGAATCAGCACATAGACATAGACACTGAAAATTTGGAAACCCTGACAACGATGATTCGATGATTGTTGGGATTCAAAATGGCCAATCACTGTGTGCCTTTTGGAAAAACCTTGCAGATCTCCCGGAACAGCTAGCTGCTAACATGGAGACAGGGTCCCTGCGGGCCGCACCAAACCCATGCGATGTTGTCATGCTCATCAAGAAGTATATTTCATCAGAGAGTTTATCTCAACCGCCGCTCCGGGTCATGACTCCCCACCGCGCTTCCCTGGCAGGGTTGGTTCCAACTCAAAAGTAGCATGGGGCTGGAATTGGTATTTCTTTAACTGATGATTAATTATTGTGTTTGGTGGATTTGGATCGGTATTTCAACCATTTATTCTCTGAGCTTAATTTTATTTCATAATTTCATTTCGGTTTCTTGTCCCACCGGCGTTTGTATTCAAGGCATCCCAACAACTTCAACGCAAACTTCCGAGATCAGTGTATCAAAGTTGCTGAAGCAGTCCGGAAAAGTTATGGCCCAGAATACCGGGAGAGCGTGGACTATTTGATTGCCTTGGCCCGGAACAGCCTCTACTTACAAGCCAACCTACAGGCTCTGCCATGGCATGCAGTGATGGGCAGTGAACCGGGGGTTGGGGACCCTGTCAACCGATTGCACCCGTCAGTGCTAAATGCACTGGCACCTGCGGTGCCTCTGCGAGCTGTCTTTGGTGGGAACCGCCGGTTGTAGTTGGCCTGCGGAAGCTTTGTCTTTGACGGTTTTCTCTTGTAAACCAATTAAAAATAATCATGTGGTTGAGTAATGAAAACACGCGGTGTCAAGGCCATGAAAGGTTCCCATGTGAAGTTGTAGATCCTAGGATCCAATAACAGTTGTCCGTCGCTCATTCCGATTGAAAATGGCAACAGTAAATCAAACAGGGTGGGAAGATGGAATTACACCTTTTGTGAGATGGTTTGCTATGCCCAGGTAGTTTCCAACCTTGAATTTGGAACCCATCTCATGTTTCCCACAATTTCCCACCATACCATTTGGATTTGAAACATGGGATCAATGAAGATATTGTTTTACTTCAACTTGATAGTAACAAATTGTTTTGAAGCCTTCAGGAAATATTTCAAAATAAGAATGCAAAAAAGGATCTCTTGGAATCCCTATGGCCCCCTGGCATTGGGCGCCGCGGCTCCAGTGTGCAGCCCAGGTGTGTTGCTCTTGCCTGCCGGAGAAGGTGCTAGATGGGAAGGGGGTTGTTATTTGTTGTTGCTACGATCTTACCATCAGAAAAGTAGAAAACCATGGAAGTGGTCTGCAGCATCCAAATTCATCATCAGAAAAAGCGACGTTGAAAGAAAATGGATTGCAGTACATGTGATTTTTTCTTGATGCCATGCAAACCTCATTCGCTTAACAACTTTGTCCAGCACTAGCCTCCGAACCAGGTTCTGGTGGCTCCGTCGCGCCAGGACAACCTGTTGGTGGGGTGGCAAACCAGATTTACAGATGTGGGATTCACCCCAGGGAAGCTGAACCAACTCTGAAAAGATAGAAAAGTCTTTGAGATACCAACTTCATTACATGTTAATATATCCAAATAGTACCCCTAGGCCAGATGGTTTTGGTGGTCCGGGTTCAGAAACAAAGAGTTTTCCCCTACAAAGCCCACAAGCATAGGATTACAAGAGATTTCCCTTTGAATTAGGGTTCCAAACAATTGTGGTTCCAAAATATGTGGGTGGTCCAACATGCCCATGTTGCAACCCCATTCAAGGGAACATTGTCTAGTAGAAATTTCCATTCACTCCGGAACCCCGTTCAACTGCTTTAAAACTCAATGGGCTGCTTGACCCAAATCCAAGGACTTGTAGGTATCCATTGTTTTCAACATGGACTTGGTAAACAAATCCCTTCAATGGGAATTACATATACTTGTTCCAAACTTATTCTTGGCCCTTATAATTTCAAGGTGTCAAACACCAGCCATAACTAAGATATATTACCCAAGGCATCTTTTGTTCAGGGGTGCCATTTAAGCAAAATCAATGGACTTTGGGTTATTGGTCCAAGAAAATCGATGGGGCATGGGGGTTCCGGTTTCCCAAAATCGATGGTCATGGGGGTATCGGTTTCCCAAAATCGATGGTCATGGGGGTATCGGTTTCCCAAAATCGATGGTCATGGGGGTATCGGTTTCCAAAAATCGATGGACATGGGGGTTCCGGTTTCCCAAAATCGATGGTCATGGGGGTTCCGGTTTCCCAAAATCGATGGTCATGGGGGTATCGGTTTCCCAAAATCGATGGTCATGGGGGTATCGGTTTCCCAAAATCGATGGTCATGGGGGTATCGGTTTCCCAAAATCGATGGTCATGGGGGTATTGGTTTCCAAAAATCGATGGACATGGGGGTTCCGGTTTCCCAAAATCGATGGTCATGGGGGTATCGGTTTCCCAAAATCGATGGACATGGGGGTTCCGGTTTCCCAAAATCGATGGTCATGGGGGTATCGGTTTCCCAAAATCGATGGTCATGGGGGTTCCGGTTTCCCAAAATCGATGGTCATGGGGGTATCGGTTTCCCAAAATCGATGGACATGGGGGTATCGGTTTCCAAAAATCCAGATTTTCAATGGACTCCCCGGGCTAGAGTCGATTGAAAATCTAGGATAAAAAAGTCCATTGATTTTGATGAAGCAGCTCCCAAAGAAAGTCAATGGACTCTGGGGGGGGGAGTCCATTGAAAACCTTAGGTTTTCAAGGTCCGGCATTGACTTTGTTGTGGGCCACCTGTTGGGATATCAATGTTCAACCTGGAAAACATAGGGTTTTCAATGGTCTCTGGGGGGTAGGGTGCATTGAAAATTATGTTAGGGCTCCAACGGAAAATCAATGGACAATAATGCTCCTCATGTTGTCACTTTGACACCGATTCCCATCAGCCATCTTTTGCCCACAGGGTCTATCCAAAGACATGTTGGCCAACCCCTTCCTGAAAGTAGCCAAGCAGCTCTCAACGCCAGTCAAGAAGAAGGAGGAAGTCAAAGGTGAGGACTTCACTCCAACTCCTGTTGCGGCAAAGAAGGCTTGCACTACGTTTGAGAGATGGGTGAAACAACAAGAAGGGGATACCTCTTTGTTGCGGGATGCTTTGACCCAAGACTACTGTTTTTCAGGTAGTCTACATTACATGATTTTACAAGCTATCTAAAGGGGAACTAACTGATCCTTGGTTTATATGATTAATCCTTAGTATGGTTTATTTAAAATGAGCTGGCTGCTGCAGGCCTACAAGTCTAAAGGTCTAAAGGGGAAGTGATCCTTGGTGTGTTATCGCATTACTTAGGAAATGTATGACTTCATGGCGAGCTTTGAAGAGAACACTGATGGTGACTATCGCTCTACTTCTCACCCAGCTGATGCAGTTCCCCATCTGTTGGCTTCAGCCAATGCCGAGCACAATTCTTTGCGAATCAAAGAGCTGGATAGTTGGTACCGCCTCTATGCCGAGAAGAGGGAGAATCCCCTTCTGGTCAAATCTTGCTCATCTTTTGTCCCAACCTCAACACTCAAAGTTTGGAAACACATTTCTCTAAAACTACGCACCCACCCCCAACCCCCCCGACCCCTACACCCGACCACCCTCTCACCCCAACCCCAGATTCCCTCACCCTAAGTCAACACCCTCCACACCTACCCCACACAAACAATCTTCAAGAACCACACATGTACAAATAAAGTTGGAAAACACCATTTGATCAGAGGTTTGGCCGCATGTTTGTTGGTGGAAAAAAGAGGTAGGGATGAAGGGCGAAGAAGGGAGAGAGCATAAGCAGCAATCCCAGAGGACCCCCCACATCTTCTTCCCTGTCTCACCTATCTCTTCCCTCTTCGCTTTGGATGACTACTCCCAACTCTTGGATAGAAGCATGGAGAATGACACCTTGAAGTTGCCCATCTCGGCCCTGAAGTGCCTTTTCTCATGTCCGGCATTACTATGATTATGATGTTACAACATGCATGGGTTTACCATGTAGTTTTTGATTTATCCTTGTTTGTCCCCTTAGCTTCCCTAGAGCTCTCTGAGCTTAAGGTTCACCCCACCGACAGATGGGATGCCTTGCATCCGGGACTGGGTGACAACTTGGGAGTCAATGGTGTGCGCTGGAGTGGACTTGGGAAGGGAACCTCTGTCCTGCAACGTTTCTTGCTTCATACTTAAAACAAGTTTTGGGTGATACCCCAGAAAGATTTGAATAACATATTGTTTTCTGTTTGGGATCTAGATCTGAAAGTTTGGCACGTTCTGCATAGAAAGCAAAGGTCGACTTTGGCGAGACGCCACAAGGCTGTCCATGTCGAAATTATTTGAACTCTACACCCCGCTATTTTGAATACTTCTGTGGGATTCCCTGGGTGTTACATGGGATTTGGCACTTTTTCTTTATGGGGGCCTTCTTTTGCTAGTTTGGTCCCCCTGCCCGCATCAGGTGGAAAGATTACCTTGACAGAGGGGAGCATCGATTTGGTCAAAGGCTTTACGAAGGCATCAGTCATCGCCTTTGTTTTGCTGAGCCTGGCGGAGTGCGACGTGAACACAGAGTGGGCAAAGATTCAGCCTTTCTGCAGGTTTTTAGACCGAGCTTGGCTTTTACCCATTCACGACACTAGGCTTACTTAGGCAAAACTCAGCGCAAGTTTTCAGAAAGACTGCTTTTCAACGTTGACTGATAAGTTTTTTGGTTGGAAAAAGTTAACCAGAAGAAAAAGGTTTTGATTTTTTCACAAAGAAACCCACTGAGTTACTAAATGCTTTTGGTTTTTGATCTGTTTTGGCTCGTAGCTGAGGTCAGTGTTGACCAGAACAGAGTGGAGCAGTGCTTCGAAAATTTAGTGCTCAGCTATAGAGGAAGCGAAAGGCAGCCACCTCACGTGCTTTCTTTGGCACTGACTTTTAGCCGGGTGATGCAGGACTATGCCCAAGAAGGTCGACATCCAGCTTCGTGGAACACGGAGGAACGTTTGGCCAATGTGGTCCAGAACTTCAATTCACAGGATAGCGTGCTGTCTCGCTGGGCGATTGATGAGGATCGCCAAAAGGCCATCCTGAACCTTTTGATTGGGACCTCGGAACATGCTCGACAGATCATATCCGGCCACTTGGCTTTCCACAAGTGGAAAGAATGCAGCTTCACATCAGAGTTGCTCAAGAGCACGCGATGGTTGCAGAACGCGCTTCCGAAAGGTTGCAAGCACATTTTCAAAAAATTGCTCGTCGTGGATGAGGAGATTCAAGAAGAGTTTTTGAAGAACCACGTGGCACACTGGATCCATGCTACTCGCAAATCCCGTCCATCAGCGAAGTCCAAGTTTCGACCCAGCCAGCAGGAATGGGACAAGCTTGTGTCATACACATGCATCATGGTCGCTTGCAAGAGGGAGGCCAAGGAGTTCTACAAGGAGGACACCGGAAAGGCTGACGAGGTGGTTACGAAGTTGAACAATGCTTTCATGTCCAGGCTTGAGTAGGGGGGAACGGTTTTCAAAGAATGTGTTTGAAACGTTTTGACAAGCAAGATCTTTGAAGTTAACAGCCAATGGCTCATTTTTTCATGGGGTCCGTGTAGGCTTTTGTGAGGAAGTGCCCCAAAATAAGGCTCTTCCCAATGAAAAAAAGTCAAAAAAGGAAACATGGCACCCTGCAGGGACTACATGTCCGAAGTCATGGCGTGCATTGACAGTGCTGTTCCGAACTGGAATGTCCGCCACCTATCCTTGTGGAGTGAGTTGGTTTGCCCAGAAGTTCCGGAGACCGACACGGTGGATTTGGAAGCCGTGGAGGAGGCCACTGCAATTGCTCTCTACCAAGAGGTGAAATCCAAGTTGTCGTCACTTTGATGAAAAGCTTGCTTTTTGGTTTTTGTCTTGTATGATGATGTTGTTATTTGAAAAACTCATATCATTTTTCAAAGCCATATTGTCAAGAAGTCCATTTCAGGGGGGTGACAGGGACACAAAAAAAATTACCCCCGAGGAGGGTAATTTTTTGCTTCTTTTGTCAAACAGGTTTTGAGTAATAGTCCATGTCATTGCCATTTCCTGCTAGGCTTGATGAGACTGCTTGGGCATCTTACCGGCGACTGTTGACCAAGAAGGCAGCACGAGATCATGTTGTCACTGTTCAGCACGCCAAGGCCCAGAACACTATCGGCTTGGGGAGCCTTGGCTTTTGTTTCAAAATTCAAACCATTTTCCAAATCATACCATACTTTTTATTTTTCAAAACCATCACGACAAGTTTTGCAAAAGACCCTGGACTGCATCTGGACCGAAGGTCTTGAAATATAAAGTCGAGGCTAATAACAATTGTGAAATTATTCTTTAGCCCGGAGGGTCTTGAAATCAATCGTTAGAGATGGTTAGAGCTGATTGGGTTTGTTCTGTCATCCCATTCCCTAAGGATTGTGGAATCCTACATGGAGAAAAATTGCAGTGTGAACATGGTGAAAGACCTCGGTACCATGCCCAATGTTGATGCCTGGCTGAAGCAGGCTGCTGCAGAGTTGAAGGCCGGGGGTCGTAGAAAGACTGGTTGATCAACTTCATAATTTTATGATTTGCATGATTACACACCACTTATTTTCATTCACAAGCAATAAAAATAGATCCTCCAACCCGAACACAGGTTACCCCCGGCTGGCAGGTGAAACCTGAACAGCTGTTTGTGGTGGTGCTGACAGATTACACCAAGCATGGCACACTCACGACAAACATGCTGAACAAGCACACTGCGCTGATGACAAAATGCATGGCTAAGAACCCAAAGCTTACCTCTTCAGAATTATGTTCTGTTTTTCTTCACGTCACCTCATTCCACCTATTTTCTTTAGTAAGCTGGCTTGGCTTTGCCCCAAATTGTATCCCGGGATGATCACCCAAGTCAGGTTCTGCTGGATTGATCATGGCGCCCTTGTTGGCGGGAACGGCCGGAGGTGGCTCACTTCGCTCTGACTGGAGGACAGGGTGGAAAATAAAAAATAGGGCTTTTTCTTTTGGGGATGTGTCCAAAGAAAGGGGGACCCAAAACACCGAAAAATAATCAAAGAAACTAAAGTTACTAAAGCCTTCGGCCCCGTTCTTTATATATTATACTTGTGGTTTAATTCACCTGTTTTTGGAAAGCAATTTTTTTCAATGCCATATTTAAAGTTTGGACGGCGGTAAACGGAACATGTATGAAAATGTGTTTTAGTTTTCCCAGAAAAAGGCTTATCGAGAACAAGCTCGAAGAGAACAAGCTGCGAGTCCGAGACATCCGTGTGGCAGTAGATATGCAAGGCATTCACCGAAATTCTGAACGGCCTGCATATTTTCAGGCGTGGATCACAGTACCAGATCTCTACCTCCCTACGAAGGGAACCGCCTATCGGGCCAACAGGCATGACGATCAGCAAGTCAAGCCCGGGGAAGTCAGTGAGATTTGCTCTGGGGAGTTGTGGCGGCTTCAGGGCCTACCGTTTGACATGTTGCCAGCTGCACTGTCTGAAGGAGACTTCCGAGTCCCCTCAGCAAAGGCTCATCTGTGCGCTCAGGACGGTCGAAAAAATCTCACTGACTTGCAGGAGACTGCACAATGGCTGGCAGGAGAAGCTGTTACAAGCAGTTTGCTGAAGGCTTTGCTGGGTGTATCGGGTTTGCTTAGCAACATGTTGTTTCTATATTATGTTTTTGGATGTTTATGGTCGCTTTTATTCATCATGATTTTCAAATTTTGGTGGGTCTTTTGTTGAAAGTTTCTATGTTTTCAAATGTGTTAATCCCAGACCCAGGTGAAAACCTCAAGAGGGCTGCTGTCATCCATACCACACCTTACTGTGCAAGTGTGGAAAAGGCATGCTTGAGCCTGAAAGTGCCGATCCTTTCGGTCACCGAGAGCTCTGTGAACCACAGCTTCACGCTTCTTTCCGTGTCTCAGGGGCTGTTGGAGGAGACTATCTTTGGAAATGAATGTCTGTAAGAGAAAATAGTTTGCACAGAACTAACTTTTAACGAACATTAGTTTTTCAAAAAAAGTGTTTTTAATTGGTTTTACAAAATCCCCGGGGGCAGGATTGGAAAAATGCTGTTGGTGGCATTGGACGGAGCCTCCCGAAGTACCAGAAAGAGCCTACTGAGCAGGACACCATGGCAGTTGAGGCGGAGGTGCCAACTCTTCACCTCTGCGAGGTCAAGGATGAGATGTTGCAGGTACCTATGACGGTACGCCAGCAATACTTGCAAGATCCTGTTCGATCTTGTGAGTGGAAAGCCATCTTGAAGGAGTTTGACAGGAAGTGGACTACCGATACTTCAGCACAGCAGAGCAGCGGTGACAGTGTGCAGCAGAGCAATGGTTCTGGCAATCAGGGATTCAAGTGGGAGGAGATCTTTGCTGATGAACCTAGCACCAGATCAGACCTGGAGTCAAGGTATGGCACTCCTGCGGCAAGCTTTGCCATCAACGAGACTTTGTCTGCTTGCATTGTCGAGGGGCCGCGTTTGTTCTTGGTCTCGTCGGGAGAAGCTGAGTTTGGCACGAAGGAGCCGATTGTGTGCTACGGAGCCGGGGTGTGGCTTCTTGATTCCAAAGCGGAGACATTCCGTCAGGACTGTTTTGTGGATGAAACAAATTGAGACGTTTTGATGTTAGATTTTTGTTTGCACAATAAAAAAAATCCCTGTTTGGCTTGCTCCAAACTGTCAGGAAAACCCTGGGAAAGGCTACAAGTTTGAGCTTGAGGATGACAAAAGTTTGGCAGTGCTGGAGGACTGGGCTATAAAGGGTTGGGTGCTTAGTATTAGCTAGATAAGGTTTGTCCTCGGGGCCCCCGCCCACCCCCCCATAGTGTACTTTTTACTTTTTTAGAACCTGAAATAACCTGAACTAATTTTCAACTTTTTGACACCTACCGCCGGTATCTTCAACATGACACCAACCTGAAGAGAAGGGCGTGTTAGTCAGTTAGTCAGTTAGTCAACAAAACGGCTTCCTTTGCCCACGGCGCGTGAGGACAGTGATGGAAATGATGGTGAACCTACTACGCTCCGGACCATCATCCAGTCTGTGGAGCAGTCTGGCACTGTGGATTTTGAACTTGCCGGCCATGATCTTTCCCGGCCACCCGAAGTATGCCAGGGATCTGACACAACCGACAGGCCAGAAATTGAACAAACTCCGGGGTTCCCACTAATAGTATCTGAATCTAATAGCTAGTAGTAGTAGTAGTATATATATATAGTATATATATATTATATATATATATATATTATAACTTGATGCCTTGATATATCCCACTGCTAGTCTTATAATATGCTGCTGGTACTTACTTTAGGCCCCACAAAGTTTTGGACACTTGCCACATTGCAGGTTCGATGTCTCTGTCAAGGATTCTATGATTTGGAAGCCTTCCAATGTTCAAATCCGCAACTTGAAAGCGAAGAACTGTGCCAGCTACTTCGACGCCAAGCAGGTGCTTGAATCCAAGGCCGTCCTTCAGGCCAGTTCCCTGAACATTTTTTTTAGACCAACCAAATGTTTATGTTATCTAGTAATCTATCGACCGATCTATCCGTCCATCCATACATCCATCCATCCACTGATCCATCTATCCATCCATCATCATCTATCCATCTATCCACCCCGGGCCCGGCTATCTTTCTATCTTTCTAAATGCTATCTAGTGGTATCTATTGCAATCTTTTAATTGCTATCTATCTATCAATCTATTTATCTATCTATCCATCTATCTATCCATCTATCTAATCTAATCCAATCACATCTAATCTAACAACCTGATCTCTCTTAGTCACAACCTGCAGGCTTGGCGTCTCCGGATGTATACCACGGAAAAGATCTTGGGGGCTGCAAAGCCTTTGCTCTTTTTGAAAGCTAAGCTTGCGCTTGGCAATGGTCAGTGCAAGCGTATTTTGTAGATATGGCAGCTTGGTCAGGTGATCTGGTATTCAACACAAAAATCTTGCAGTAATTGTTCAAACATGATTCATGATTATTTAGTTCAAACCATTCGTACTTGTTCAAAATTCTGCTATGTGGAAAACCATGCGCCAAGGATGTGCCAAGGTATGAAACGATAGGTCTTTGGGGAGGCCTCAATCCTGGTCTCTTTTGTTTAGACAAATTTGGTCTTTCTGGGGTCTGGCAGCACAATCTCAAAACATGAATTGTGCGAGAGCTAGTGACTGGGTGTGTTTACCCACATGTCTTGTTGGACCGGACCCAGGTTACCCTGCCATCAGCGAGAACAAAACCCTGCCCCAGCCAAATTGTGTCCTGCATTTGTAGAAGCCACTGTGACTGGTCGCAGGTCCTGCAGTCAAGCAATTATCGCATAAACTACCATATATAGGTATTTTGGGTCAAGCCAGTGGAGCCCTAGCTTTTGTAAGATCTGTAGAGGCCCCATGGTGAACTTTCACTTGGTTGTAGAAAGCCAGTCTGATGTTGAGTTCACAGAGCCTGCTCCCCCGTCATGTGGTTTCCATACCATTGAAGCCCCAGTCTCAACGCAGCTTGTGGGGTTGGGATGGAACCCACGAACTGGCATGATGGCTTTGCCGGTGGGGGTCAGTGACAGTGATGTGCGGGTGTCGCTTGACGAGAAGTTCTTGGATGCTTCAAATTCCCCGAGGAGGACAGAACTCTGAGTTTCATAAATTTATCTTTATTATTATATATATTCTATGATGTAACATGTATATATTAAAATACAAAAACATATAATATAATATAATGTATATATATATATATAATATTCATTCATGGGGTATGCTTCTATGTTCACAAAATTTAGGGACTTTGTCTTAAAGAATCTGGAACACCTTTCCCTTCTAGGACCGAACCACCGTCATCACCACGACCACCATTGCGGAGAAGTACGAAACTCAGTGCAGCCAAAAGCAAGGCATCTCCTTCCAAGCCTGAAGACCTTCCTGGTGACGACATCTCCCACGGTGACATGGACGAGCCTTTGACGGACCTGTGTGACTCCCAGCACCTTGATGCCTGTGAGATCCCGGGGCCTGCAGACCTGACTCCCACTCTCTCCCCAGGGTCTCCTTGGGAGAAAGACTCCGATGAACAGAAACAGAAATGGAAGGAAATCACGGACAAGTGCCTCAAGAGCAAGAGCCCGCTCGTCAGATACCTGGCGAAGACTGCTGACCCCCCTCCTGAGGTTCCGAAGGCTGCTGACACCCCTCCTGAGCTTCCAGATTCACAGGAGACCGTTGTCATGATGGGAGCGTCTTCACCAATGCCACTGGCAAAAGCCAAGGCAACCGCAAAGGCCAAAGGAGCAGCCACAGCAAAGAGCAAGAGCAAGGCCAAGGCCAAGGCCAGACGCCCAAGGGAAAGGAAGTCAGAAGAGCACAAGGCAAAGATCCACCGAGAAGGTTCAAAGCGCTGGCATTTGAAATGGGTGAGCAAAGGAGTTCCTCGAGTACAGCCCCAAGAGGATGGCAGGAAGTGCAAGAAGGGCAACAAGAACGTCGATTCCAAGGACATCCCCAAGCCGGAGCTGGATTGTGAAGACAAGCTCAAGAACCAGAAGTCCAAGCAGGTCATCGAGCCCAAGCCTGAGACCAAAAAGCGATCCCGCGCTTCCCGTCCTTCCAGTGCTTTGCAGCCAGCGCCCAAGACATCCAAGACATCCAGGGCATCCAAGACCAAGCAGCCCGACGAGACGCCCAAGACCAAAGTGCCCGAGCAGATTCCCGAGGAGCGACATCCAAAGAAAATTGTGTTCTTTGAAAGGGTTTGGATCACAATAATTATTGTCTAAACCACCATCGAAAAAATATAGTATATGCACTCAAGTAATTTACAATACGTATTATTTACCAGATCTCAAGGATGTAACATGGAATCATTAAACATACATTTATCTTGGGCCCCTTTGAGATCTGTTACTTTCAAACCACCTACCACTAGACTGACCGGATCTGACCGGTATGTAAAGCCAAACACTTTGGGGTTTGAGGACCACCTATATCTCCACTTTCAGGATCTGAAGACAGCTTTGGACAAAGACCACATGCCAGCCCTCCCGACGAATGATCTCCGTAAGACAAAGGCTGCTTTCATTGAAGAAGCTGTCAAGGTCATGAATGCTTCCAATGATGGGTCCGAGTTACTTTCTTCCCGTGACAAATATCTTACGGGTATGAGCATGTGGATGAATTCTGCCACCAGGGCAGTTTTGATGGCTGGTAAGAAGCCAGGGTTTGCTGCTGTGACTGACCGTTAGGTTTGACCTGATGATTCCATAAGGGGCTTGGGGTAAAAGCCCTTTTTGCCAGTTGATGTGGCGAATACATGCCAATACGCTCTGCAGAAAGAAGGTGAAAAATAATGCAGGTCTCCAGATTTCTGATTTTATGATGTTTTATCTGATTTTATTTTTTCTGATTTCCTTCATCCACATGCTCATACATTTACTTATAGAATATCACAAGCCGCTTCCCGCGGTCCTCTGCAGGAGCGCCACGAAGAGATGTGGCGGCAGCCGCTGAATGTGGCTGATGGTCTTGGGAATTGTATATATATATATATATATATATATATATACATGGGATCTAGACCTAAAACACCAGCCCCATTTACAGTGAAATTAGACCCAAATACATTGAAAGAAACATCATTGGCGATCTTTTATCTCTGGAACACTATACCTTTTGGTGCTTTTTGGGGGTTCTGACGTTCTAAGTGTTGGATTCAGCAGCTAATTCGTAGGAAACATAGACATAATTTCGTACCATTTGGCTTTTCCCTCCCATATGATTTGCCAATCTTGGCGGTCTTTACCTCTGGAACACTATACCTTTTGGTGCTTTTTGGGGGTTCTGACGTTCTAAGTGTTGGATTCAGCAGCTAATTCCGCATAGGAAACATAGACATAATTTCGTACCATTTAGCTTTTCCATCCTATATGATTTGCAAACATTGGCGACTTTTATCTCTGGAACACTATACCTTTTGGATCCTTTTGGTGCTTTTTGGGGTTCTGACGTTCTAAGTGTTGGATTCAGCAGCTAATTCCGTAGGAAACATAGACATAATTTCGTACCATTTGGCTTTTCCCTCCCATATGATTTGCAAATATTGGCGATCTTTTATCTCTGGAACGCTATACGTTTTGGTGCTTTTTGGGGGTTCTGACGTTCTAAGTGTTGGATTCAGCAGCTAGTCCCGTAGGAAACATAGATCGACATAATTTCGTACCATTTGGCTTTTCCCTTCCATATGTTTTGCAAATATTGGCGTTCTTTATCTCTGGGACACTATGCCTTTTGGTGCTTTTTGGGGGTTCTGACGTTCTAAGTGTTGGATTCGGCAGCTAATGCCGTAGGAAACATAGACATAATTTCGTACCATTTGGCTTTTCCCTCCCATATGATTTGCAAACATTGGCGATCTTTTATCTCTGGAACACTATACCTTTTGGATCTTTTTGGTGCTTTTTGGGGGTTCTGACGTTCTAAGTGTTGGATTCAGCAGCTAGTTCCGTAGGAAACATAGACATAATTTCGTACCATTTGGCTTTTCCCTCCTATATGATTTGACATTGGCGATCTTTTATCTCTGGAACACTATACCTTTTGGATCCTTTTGGTGC